TCGCAACTAAATATAATTTCCGTGGTCAGTATTCGAGAGCGATCGCTCCCGCTTCCCGACCAAGCCTGTATATATATATATATATATATATATATATATATATATATATATATATATATATATATATATATATATATATATATATATACATATATATATATATATATATATATACTATATATATATATATATATATATATATATATATATATATATATATATATATATATATATATATATATATATATATATATATTTAATATATATTTAATATATATATATATATATATATATATATATATATATATATATATATATATATATATATATATATACATATATATATATATATATTATTATTATTATTATATATATATATATATTATTATTATATATATATATATATATATATATAATAATAATATATATATATTGTTATATATATATATATATATATGTAAATTAAGGGGTAAACAGATTCTATCTGTTGACCAGCCTCGCACCCCTTCGTCATCTATTAGGCTAGCGCAGATGTATTTTTAATACATTGTTTCCAGTTTAGGATGTTGAACGCTGGATCTTCTTGACTCAATTCATGGGTTTTGGTTGTGTCTCTGTTTTTATGACTAGGCAACTCATTCTATTATCTCCAAATGAGGGTACAGCTCTAAAACTCAGTTTTATGGTTCTGAGGCCGGCTGGTAGTCAGATTTCCCAAACTCTGTGGTAGCTCTCAGAGAGGCTGATTCCATCAACAGCTGAAAAATATCAGAGTACTAACAGTGCCATTTTGCGCATGGATGGTGTCCCTGTTTGTACTTTTGGTGTGCATTGCCAAGGCCATATTAGAGCCCTTTGTTACGGCTTAGGGTTTATTAGTGGAAATGAGGCAATTGCTTGAGCTATAGAACAGTGTACTGAGTACTATCAATATTCGTGGTCTTCGAAGTAACTTTTCTTATGATGAGTCTTATCTCTTGCAAAGTTCACCAGACCTACTTGCTCTTTGTGAGACTAATTTGAGTTCAGCTGTCTCATCTTGTGATCTTAGTGTTGATGGTTATCTTCCTTTTATTCGTAAAGACTCCAATAGTCACATGCTTGGGCATTTACAGTTGTAAGAATTCACCCATTTGTCGGGAAACTAGGTTTGAATCCACAGACTACTCTTTTATGTGCTTTCGTTTAGCACCACTTCACTCTATCACCTTTCTCTTTGTTCTATATCGCTCTCCCTCATCCCAAGACTGCACTCTTCTTGATGTTATTTCTGATTATATTGACCAAACCCTCATTCTTTATCCATCAGCCAATATTGTTGTTGTCGGTGACTTTAATGTTTATCACACTGAATGGCTTGGCTCTAGTGTCAGTGACTCTGCAGGCATTAAGGCCCACAACTTTTGTCTTTCTCAATCCCTAACTCAAATAGTCAACTTTCCAACTCGCTTTCCAGACAACCCCAATCATTTACCTTCTCTACTCGACTTATGTCTTGTTTCTGATCCTAGTCAGTGCTCAGTTTCTTCACACTCACCCTTAGGTGCGTCTGATCATGGTTTGGTCTCTCTAAAACTATTATCTCATTCTTCTTCACCATTAGAATCCCCCTATCATCATACATCTTAAAACTACCTTAAAGCTGACTGGGACTCTTTTCGTGACTTTCTTCGTGATGGCCCCTGGGTAAAAATCTTTCGTCTCCCTGTTGACAAATGTGCTTCTTACATAACTTCGTGGATTCAGGCTGGCATGGAATCCTTTATTCCCTCTCAACGATTCCAGGTCAAGCCTCACTCTTCTCCATGGTTTTCTTCACATTGTGCTGCTGCAATTGCCAATCGAAACCATTACTTCCATATCTATCAGCAAAACAATTCTCCAGAAAACAGACGTCTCTTTATTACTGCTAGGAACCATTGTAAAAAGGTTTTGCCTAACACCAAAACCCGCTATTCTCAGATCATGAAATCTCGTATTTCATCACAAAAATTAGGCTCTCGTGACTTCTGGAGAATCTTTAATAGTATCAATAATAAGGGCAAGTCTGTAATTCCACCTCTTTTGTACAGTTTAGACTTTGTCACCTCACCTAAAGACAAAGCTGAATTGTTTGCCAAGAACTTTTCATCAATATCATCTCTTGATGCCACTAGTTGCGTTTTACCTGATATACCCATCAAACAGGTTGATCCATTGCTCGACATTCGTATCACTCCAGCTTCTGTATCTAAAGAGATTGCCCGCTTAGACTCTTCTACAGCTTGCGGCCCGGACAACATACCTGTTATAGTCTTGCAGAAGTGTTCTCCTGAGCTGTAGTCTATCTTTTCAAAACTATTCAACAAGTGCTTATCAGAGTCTTGTTTTCCAGCCTGCTGGAAAGCAGCATCTGTTATCCCTATTTTTAAAAATTCTGGAGAGCGATCTGACTCATCTAACTACCGTCCCATTAGTCTTCTTCCTATCATAAGCAAGGTTTTTGAATCTTTAATTAACAAACACTTAATCTCGAATCTCGAATCTCATAACCTACTTTCTGATCATCAGTATGGATTTCGATCTTCTCGTTCTACGGCTGATTTGCTATCAGTAATAACCAATAGGTTTTATCGCGCACTAGATAAAGGTGGAGAGGTTAAGGCCATTGCTCTTGACATTTCTAAAGCGTTTGATAAAGTTTGGCATGCTGGTCTCCTCCATAAGCTTTCTTCTTATGGTGTATCTGGAAACATCTTTAAGATTATTGAATCCTTCCTTTCCAATCGTAGTATAAAAGTTGTCCTTGATGGACAGCACTCTTCTTCTTATTCTGTAACCTCAGGGGTTCCCCAAGGTTCAATCCTTGGCCCTATACTCTTTTTAATTTACATTAACGATCTTCCAGATATTCTCACATCTAAGGTGGCATTGTTCGCTGATGATATTACCATTTATTCTTGTCACGATAAGAAGCCAACTCCCTCTGATTGCTTGCAGGGGGCATCTGAGCTCGAAAAGGATCTCACTTCTGCTACAGCATGGGGCTCGCAGTGGCTGGTGAACTTTAATTCAGATAAAACTCAATTTTTTTCGGCCAATAATTTATCGCAATAATTTAGACCTTTCTATATTTATGAACGGTAATGTACTCAATGAGTCTCCTACCCTTCGTCTTCTAGGATTAACTCTTACTTCTGATCTTTCTTGGAAACCTTATATCAAATCCGTTGCAAAATTAGCATCTGCTAAAGTTGCTTCTGTTTATCGAGCTCGTCACTTTCTTACTCTGGATTCTATTCTCTATCTCTATAAATTTCAAATCCGGCCTTGTATGGAATACTGTTGCCATATCTGGGGCGGATCTTTTAATGATGCCCTTTCTCTTTTAGACAAGGTGCAAAAACGCATTGTAAACATAGTTGGACCTGCTCTTGCAGCCAACCTTCAACCTCTGTCACATCGTTGTAATGTTGCTTCTCTTTCTCTTTTCTACAAATACTATAATGGGCACTGCTCTAAAGAGCTAGCGTCTCTTGTGCCATCTACTAAAATTCATTCTCGTGTTACTCGTCATTCAATTAAGTCTCATCCTTTTTCTGTTACTGTTCCTAAGTGCTCCAAAAACTCTTATTCGTCTAGTTTTTTTCGTCGAACATCAGTTCTTTGGAATTCGCTTCCTCCATCTTGCTTTCCTGATTCATATAATTTGCAATATTTTAAGTCGTCTGTCAATCGTTATCTTGCTCTACAATCTTCATCTTTTCTCTTTCAGTAACTTCCAACACTAATAAGTGGTTGCTTGCAACCTTGTTGGAAGCGAAGATAATTAAAAAATATATATATATATATATATATATATATATATATTTTATAATTCAATGTAGTTATAAGCTTTCTTTTGTTCTGAATTTTTGCTACATAATATAATAAAGAAATATTTGCACCTTTAAATAAAAAAACAAGAAGTTAAACATTCTTTCTTTTTAACTTTCTTTGCAACACTTAAATAATTTATATGCACTTAAATATAACACTTAAGTAATATAAATACATAACATTTATTACAAATATATACTGTTGAAGAATGCCTATATAAAGTATATACATAATTAAAATATAGCTCTTGAAAAAGCTGAATTATACAAGAACTAAAAGAAAAGGTTTCTTTTAATTAAACCTAAAATACAAAAAACTTTTTTGTTATTGTTTCTATTTTCATTATATTAAATTGAGGGCTCATTTCATGAGCCCTCGATTTGAAAAAATGCTCATTAACACTTTGATTCGATCTCCACATTTTGAAGGAGCTCTGTGAGAAAGGTGATTCAAAGTTTAATAAAACGACAAACACACTTGTTAGCATGAACTAATACTGTTACTGCTACTATTTTATTTATTTATTGTTTACTTGGAAAAAGAAGTAAAAAATAAAGAATAAAAGAATAAACTATAAACATTTTAAACATTTACTTTTTCGATAACATATTTCATCCAGGTCATATTTGAAAAACCTGAAATTTATTTCAGAATTTTTTAATCTGCTAGGTTTCTTAATTTCTTTGCAACTTTTCTTATTTACTGTATGGCAATGACTTAAAAAAATTAAAAAACAAATATATCGCAAAAATATATATTTAAATTTGTATTTACAAAAACATTTTGGAAATCCAGAAAAACTAAAAGCTAAATAAAATATCTTGAATTCCAGATATATCCGGGAAAAGATAATTCCTGTTTAATATAATAGAAAATCAGAGTATAACAAATTAGAAAACCAATGAATTTATTTTTTTAGTTTTCAAAAATTCAAGATAAGATTTATTAATTAAGAAAAATCCACTAAGTAACATCATAAAAGTAACTAATATAAAGGTCATTGTATTAAAGCAAAGCTTTAAAAAAATTGCATTTTAAAAAGTATAAAATTTAATTTTCACTTATGAAAGTATTGTGAATGTAAAGCAAGGTTGGGTTGACTTAATAAAAAAATATATATTACTAAGTAGATCAAAACATACCAGAAGATTTATCGCAAGATGGAAAAGATCCACCAACATTGCAAGGGCAAGGCACGCAGTCTTTTTTGATTGAAGTTGGAAAAATATAATAACCATCTTTGCAAGTATCACAAGCTCTACCAGTAATAAAAGACTTGCAAAAACAGTTCCCAGTGTATGGATCACATAACTGATTACTATTTTGCGTCCCAAATGAATTACATGAGCAATCTGTAATTTTAAAAATACACTTACACCTTAAATATATATAAAAAAAAAACAAGTTTCATAATCAAACATGCAAAAAAAATATAAATAATAAATGTAAAAAAAAAAGAGAAAAAAGTACTTTAAAGCATCATCACATTTTTGTTCAGTGAAATTACAAATAGAAAAAGAAATAAAGGGACTTGTTAATATTTGAAGAAAGACTTTATGATATGAATACCAAAAAGATGTTTTTGATTGAAGTTTATATCTGGTAGTATAAAAAATGTGTATCAATTTTCTTCATGAAGCTCTATTTATCTATTGTTAACAACAATAACATTGTTAACAACAAACATAATTATTATATATATACACACACATATATATATATATATATATATATATATATATATATATATATATATATATATATATATATATATATATATATATATATATATATATGTTATATTATTTGTTGCAGTTGTTGTATATATATATATATATATGTATATATATATATATATATATATATATATATATATATATATATATATATACATATATATATATATATATATATATACATATATATATATATATATATATATATATATATATATATATATATATATATATATATATATATATATATATATATATATATATATATATATATATATATATATGTTATATTATTTGTTGCAGTTGTTGAATAAATTGTGTATAAAATGTTCAATACTATTACCTATGCAAGCTCCATCACTCAATTTGCTATACCCCCATTTACCAGGTACACATTGATCACAACGACGCCCATAGATACCATTTTTACAATTGCACTGTCCTAGTTGTTGTGTCCCTGTAGGGTTTTGCAAACATTTTCCATCATCAGTTATTCCAGGTGGGTAACAATCACAAGCTAAATGAATTACATAGAGTTCATTTAAAAAGTAATTTAATTCATATTATATTGACTTAAAATTAATTTAATTTAAACAGGTTAAATCAGTTATTGTTTCAGAATTAGTTGAAGCAAGTTTATTAGCAATTTTGTTAAAACTTTACTATTAATATTAGTAATAATTACTCATAATATTAGTAATAAAATATTCATAAATGTGATTGTTTATACATCTATTTTAATAGTATCATAATGCCATTTTTAATAACATAAGCAAAGTTGTTAATTTATTTTTCCTTTCTTTCTTAGTAGTATTTTGAACATTCTATAAGACTCTATTTGTGTTTTTGCATTGAAGTTCAATGTTTACTTTCTTGTATCAAGAACCATTGTAATATACTTTTATCAAAAGTAAATTACAATGGATCATTATGATAATACTCAGCAGAAGAAAAGGTGAATTAGGGAGTAATTGACCACTTAAAAGAAAAACTTTTAAAATAAACCCCACTCTGGTAGTATGATTTTAAATAACTACTCTCTTGCCATTTTGCTATTCATGCGTAAATATGTCAAATATTCGGCAGTTTTAAACAAGGATGGCTGCAAGTCAATATTAATGATCTAAGCTCTTGGCTAATTTTTTGAAAACTTTCACAATTTGCCAAAGACACACAATAAAGGTTAGTTTAAAAAGTAAATAAGAACCTTTAATTTTAATATTAAATAATTTCAAAATAGATTTTTTGATACTAACTAAAAGTTATTTACTGTCTATTTACTGCCTATTTGTTGTAAATTATGAGGGTGGTCAAACAATATGCAAATAAATAATTTGAAAACTTCAAAAGTTTAGCTATTGACCAGGGTGGTCAATTACTAAATTTTTACTCGTTAATTCCTTTATCTTAACTCATTGTAATATGCATGTTATGAGAAAGGTCAACTAATGTCAAACAAAATAAGTTAGTCATGAGGGTAGTAAAATAAAAGTCAAATAAAATAATCTAAAAATTTCAAAAAATTAGTAATTGACCAGGGTGGCCAGTTACTTCAAGTTTTTATGTTTTTATTAGGCCATTATTTTAATTTTTTTTAATAAAAAATAACAGCTGAAAAAGAAAGAAAGAAAAAAAAAAGAGAAAATAAATTGTGAGATGGAAAAAAAAAAAAAGTAAGCAAAAAATCAAGAAACGGTATGAAGAATTAGAATGATTAATTTCCATTCCTGCCTAGCAATAGCGAAGATTTTGACCGGTATGAAGATTCTTCAGATGAACATACAATTACTCTGGAAAAAGGTTGAATTTGTAATAGTAGAGTATGAAGGTAGCCATTTTCAGGAAAATTAATGCAAGTTGTGGCTATGAGACTATGAGTTGTGGCTATGACTATAAGAAAGCAACAATTGTTAAGGCTGGTGTTTTTTATTATCTGTGGCCAGATAAGGAAGATAAGCTTGTTTATATAAGGAAACAAATGCAAATGAAAATCCTATCTAAACTTTTCAAAAACATGATTTTTATACAATGAAATACTACAAAAATTATCTCTCCTCTAAAATATTGTATTTGCTTTACTTCAAGAGTATTTAATGACTTTGCAATGTCATACTCACTAAAATAAATATTATAGGTTATGATTTTCGAGGAGAGAATTTTTTTTTAGTATTTCATTGTAAAGTAAAAATCATGTTTTTAAAAAGTTTCAAAAATAAAAACAACGATAAAAGTAAAGCTTTGAAAGAGAACGATTTGAGTTTAGATATTTATTTGAAAGACTTTTTTTAAAAATTATTTAAAAAAATTGTTATTTTTAAATCTATTCGATTAAACAATACATTAGACTTAAAATGAAGACTTTGACTTTGGCATTTATTCAAACTTCCCGCTTATTCGAAGCACGTAAATTAAAATTAACTTAAGCGGGAAAACCCCTTAAAAAAGCACTAATGAAGTTAATACATGTTCCAAATAAAAGTACTCATGTTAAGAAGATCTATTATAAAAAATGGCAACCGTTGCCATGGAAACACAGTAACTTAGGAAAAATGTCAAATTAGTCTCTTCACCCTAGCAAAGATTGCAGTCAATTGATACTTTTAGATGATTTTTTTCCAAATTGCATTTAAAAGATAGATCTATGCAATAAGTAGACATTTTTTGAAAATAACTTTTTTGTCAGGTGGTAAACCTCAGTGGCGGATCAAGGGTGGGCTAGCCGCATAATAGCCCCGGACCTCAAGAAGTCTTAACCCGCCACTGGTAGGCCTGTTTAATTTTGGCAAATATTTTAAGCACAAAAATGATAAACGTTTTCTTTAATTTCTTTAGTTTTAAAAACTTTTTTAAAAAGTTGTCATCTTTATGAGAGGAATACTCTCGGAAAATTTCATCAAAATTGGTCAAAATTGGTCATTCTCAAGATACTTCTGCCGGGAGATTAAAAACACGCGTTCTGAGAAATATGCAAAATAAGTTAAAATTATGATGAAAAATATTATAAAATAACAAAAATACAAAAAATATAGTATAAAAAGAGCATATTGATAGAAATTTTTAATCATGAACACCAGCCCCATACATATTCCCTTCTTTTTGTTCAAATTTGTCAGATTTTTTATGCTTGCGGTTTCTTAAAATCTTCCTTTGTTTCTTGATGATGTCTTGATTTTTATAGACATCCTAACTTGTCTTTGGATCAAGTAATTGCATCCAGAAATGATATGTTGCCCTGGTATCATATTAAGTCTTTCAAATATAAGGATACTAGACTTTAGTCTTATTTTAAAAACACCAATAGCATCATAGAGTCTAAATTTTAATTGCGTAAGCAAAACATAGTTTGACTTAGGTATTCTGGACCATATCATTGCATTAAAATTTTCATTTTGGTTCTGTATTTTTCCGTGAAACAAACGGTTTATATAAGCATCTGATTTTAGTTCTACATTAATGGGCTTTAACTTAAGAACGATTTCAATAGGAAGACCTGGTCCCCGTTTAATCTCATTGGTTCCATTACCTTTATCTCGATGGAATTTACACCAACTATCTTTACCTGTGAGACAATGCGGGTAATGCCAATTATTTTTGCTTAAAGATGCTACATGAAATAAGCTTGCCAAAGCTGAAGATCTCATACCTTCAAGGTTGCCACAGTTTTAACTAAAATACCAAAATAATTTTGCAATTGATTAATTTATAGCATTTGTTGCTGCTGCTTTGAATTAATAACATATCGATTTTTGTCACATATTTTACATTTTCTAGACAATGATTCAACATCTAAAACCTTTCGATTTTTAATTGATAATGCAGCGGTTACCCCATTGTGTGAACTATATCCCCTTTTTAACCATGTTCCATCAACAGAAACTCCAGTATCTACAATCTCATTAGGAGATTTGCTTTCTCTGAGTTTTTATACAGTTTCATTTTAAGCTGTTCTGAGCTTCATTCATAGCTTCAATAACATTAGTTTTTGAAAAAAAACAGCTTTTATTGCATAATTCTTTTGGGATATTCATAAAGAGTGGCAAACCGATGCAGACCAGCTTGGCCTTGACCAAGTGTTCTCACGGCATACACTAATCTTTTATTAATATCAAACCCTGCGACATTTTTTAATGCGTCATAGTCTAACTTAAAACCACAAACGCAGTTTAAAGATAAATTTGATGCATATCTCTTGCAAGACTTTTATTTTCGCATAATGACAACTGAGGCCAATTAACCTCGCCCCTTCCCAAAAAAAAAAAAAAACGCTTGTGCAAAAAATAGTTGTGTTGTAAAATTATGGAAAGGAATAAATTGATTTAGTGGAGTTAAAAAAAAAAAGTTAAAGATGAATAAATTAAATAATCAGAGTTTGAACAACTAAAAAAAAGACAGTGCTATCTTATCAAGTAACCATTTTACGTATTCAAACTTCTAGTAAAAATGCTGTTATTCAAATTCTGATTTTAAAGAAAGCAGTTGGGACAGCACAACAAACAGAGCATCAGATATGCCAAAGTTTACTCATTTAATATTAAGACTTTAATAGATGACATTGTTTGTATTTACTCATTTAATAGTAATGCTCCGTAAAAGTGTTGTTATAAATAGGGTGTTTTATAGTATCACCACCACAATCACCCATTCCTAAAACACACCTATATTATTTGCAAGTGATTTTGAACAAAAAAATAAAAAATTTGGGAATTTAAAAGTAATTCCTAATTATCCTCTAGACACCTGTACTTCTATCTCACTCTATTATCCTTTTTTTAATGCTAATGCTTCTTTATTGGATCCACTGCTTAATGCAGCTTTCCTAAAATGAGTTGCATTTACAAAACGTGACTTATAGTTAATGTAAAAAAAAATTAATTTAACAATATTTATTTTAAATTTAAATTTATGTTTTTTTGACAAAAAAAAAAAGTTTTTATTACAGTTTTCAATTCTTTTTAAAGTTACTAAAACTTTATTTAAAATTCGTTTCAAATGTGAGAAAGTTGTAAAGACATCAGACATCTAAGATGTTAGACTTTGTTGTCTTCCAGTATAACTGTTTATTAAAGTGTTTTTTTTTTCATTAAACGAATTTAAGTTCTTTTATTTTCTTTAGGTAAATCACCTAAGAAAGTTAATTTTTATCATATATTTATTAGCCCTGAAATATTCCGTGTTATCGGCCTTTTTTAGAAAAATCTCACAAAGGCAAAATTGGGTTTTAGAATAATTATTTCGGGTTTATAGCTATATAAATCATAGTTACAAACATCGTTTAAAATGTTATTTATATATGAACATTTTTAACACTATTATTGTTAATCGTGCTTTTAAAAAAAAAAATAGGAGAAAAAATTGAGCTATCAAAAAAACTAAACCCTAACAAACCCAACCCCCAGATTATCTCAGTAAGATTAAACAAACCCAACTTAACCCCCTGATTATCTTAGTTAGCATTGATTGCTTTTAAGTTTTTTTAATTAACTTTGTTTAACTATTTTTATTTTTAAGAACAAAAACCAGAATTATCTTCGTATTCAATTTGACTTAACTAAATAAACTTTCTATTGAAGAACCACTCATTTAAGTGCTATTTAAATTACTCTAATCAGTTTCGATTTGAGTTTGGTGCATTTGTTATGTCGTTCTTGAACATTGATCAATTATCTATAGAAACGAATATAGCAATATTAATGGAACAAAATGATATTATTTCAATAACTTCAAAGAATACTTTTGCATAAAATAGCCATGGATTTTGATTTTTTAAGTCCTAAAGTTATACAATAAAAACACTTTTTTTCCTTTATTACCATTTCAGCGGCTGCTTTACTTTAGTAAGCTGCTCTTCAACATTCCCACTGTTTCCACAACAGTCCAAATCTAAAACTTGTTTGCTGGACTCTTACTGGAGTTTTAGCTCTTTAATTTGGTCCAAATGTTTTTAAATTTTACAAGATTTCAAAAAAAATTCCTTTTTTTCTTAAGGTTCCAAGAGTTTTAAAAGTTTAGCGTTTGATGATTTTTTTATTTTTATTGTTTTTATTATTATAAACTAGTAAAAATTGTGGTGGGTGCTATTTTTAACCTGCGCAATTTTTTTTACGTGAACTGTTTTGCTATGGCAAAAGAGTACACATTAAACGTTTAAGTACACTAAAACTGTTAATCTGCTGTTTTATTGTTAGTGTAATTCAAAATGTTAGTTCTAAAACTCAATATCCCAAAAACATATTACGCAATGTTGCAAAAACCAAATGCACTTAACTACTGTAGCACAAACTAGCAACTTTATTCAAAAAAACTTGACTTGATGGTCTCAAATTGACTTGATGGCCTCAAAAATTGAGGTTTAAGTAAGCAACCTAACTTTCGTTTTAGTTGAATTAAAATAATTGTTTCATTGCTGAGTTCCAAAAAGTCTTAAATTCACATAAGCAAAATAAAATTTCAAAATTAAATTTCAAGGTATAATAATAGACTTTAAAATAGATTAAGAAAATATTTACAATAAAATTTAGAAAAAATTTAGAGAACATTGATAATAAAATTCAACTATCCAAGCAAGCTGCACATTTTATGGTTTTTATTCAGGTTTAAACGGCTCACCAACCCAAATAAAATAAAAATAAGTAAAAAAACCTTTAAAAATAAAATAAAAACCTTTAGAAATTTTACCGTCCAGAAAAACCTGTCGGTTGATTGGTTTCTTGCTCTTACAACTCTTATATAAAAACTTTTACTTAAAAAGAATATTTACTTACGGATACAGACATTTTCGTCTGATAAGTCTCTTGAAATGTTTCTATAGTAACCATCAATGCATCGGTCACATTTAACACCTCGCGTATTATGTTGACAGTTTTGGCATACTCCTGTTCGCAAAAGGTCACTGTAAACACAGGTTGTAGTGTGTTCGTTGCAATTACATTCTAAAAAAAAAGGACAAAATTTTTTTGTAAATAACTTATTATTATAAGATAAAAAAAAATTTAAACAAACAAGCAAGCGTACTCTCGCAAGGATTTGCATGAGTTAAATTTCCGGGCATCCATAATCTGTTACTAAACATGGGCAAACACATACTGCAGTCATCTCCCATAGTGTTATGATTACAATCACATTTTTCAACACCATCTTGAAAATCACAAAATTCTGAATGACCATTGCAGTTACATCTTGCGTCAACACGTATCTCACTAATTGCATAATAATATTGGCTAAGTGTTGTCTCCTCATTTATAAACTCTCGTCCGTCTGTCCCTGGATATTCTAAACGTAACCGAATATTTGTGGCTTCTAAGTATGAACTAACACTTTTATTGTAGTAATCTTTAGGTGTGTAGCGTGTTCGAGGATCAAAATGAACAACACCACCGCTGCGAGGGAACTCTCCACTGTATTGCTGAGAACAAATTGGTTTAAATGGATCTCGAGGATTTATTTCTGGATCTGGTTGAAGATTGTATGCTGACCGGCAGTTCTTTGCATAAAACTGATATACATCCCATGTTTTTCCAAAGTCTCTTGAACGTTCTATTACCATTTGTTTTGGTCTCTCTGTATAAAAAGTCACGTATACTCCTCCGCTAATTAAATAACTCTTGCCTATTGTTAGTGTAATATTAACTTTTAAAGGTTCAAACATTTTGGAAATTCCATTTTGGTTTGACTGCCACCATGTTTGTGACTGCCACCAGGTTATTTTGCTATTGACATCAGCATCATTAATATTTTCTACCGGGTGGCTGTTAGCTGGATCAGATGCGTCACATATCTCGCAAGCTCTTTCTGGGCCAATATAACAAAATCCCTCGGGAGGAGTACCGCATGTGTTAGTAGCATCTAGTTTACGTTTAAATGCAGCATTAATTGGAGAAGTTATACAAGTAATGGCCTGTCCTTTTTCGTCGTAACATGCAGTTGCGCAATAACGAGCCAAATAGAGCAAAATACCTAAAAGCATTATATGCTGTGAATGGGAAAGACCTCTGCGCACATCTTCGTCTAATTTTAGTAACATATCTAAAAAACCCATCTTGTATCTTGCAATCTTGTATCTTCTCAATTAATTACAGTTGTTCTAATTTTTACTTAATTTACCAACAACTTGTAATGTTTACAAAACCGTCATTATTAAAATCTACATGCAACAAATAAATCAATTAAAATTGTTAAAATTGATAGTGCTTCGATTTTTTGCACAGCTGCTCTCGTAAGGTGAATATAATAAAATGAGTTTTGAATCGAAGCCTGTATAGTTTAAAGTGCAATTGAAGTTGTTAGCGTCTTAAGTGATTTTACTTGGATTCATTGAAATTCATCAATTTGTTATTCTCTATTTACTAAAATCAATTTGCTATTCTCTATTTACCAAAAGCTCATCAAAATGCTTAAAAAAATTAATTTCGAATTTTTTTTTTGTGTGTGTATGCAAGCTGAAATAATTTTCTAGTTAATAATATTTTTTTCCTTTCTTTAAAAAAAATATTTATTTTATTTATTTCTACATTTTACTTTAAATATTTGTTTTAAATTTTCCATTTGTTAAATGTTAAAACATGCTTTAAATTTTAGCTATTTTGTTATATTTTGTTATATAGCCACAGCGCAGAATCTATTTAATTATATAGTCATTCCGCAAAATCAGTGATAAAAAAATTAAAATTCGACTGAACTTTTTATTAAACAAATTTTCAAAGCGATACTACTGTGTTTTTTTTTTTTGTTTGAAATAAAATTAGGAAATGTATATATGTATATACATATATATATATATATATATATATATATATATATATATATATATATATATATATATATATATATATATATATATATATATATATATTCATTTCGAAGTACTTTTCTAAGGAATAAAATAGTTTTTAAAAATTATGGAATTTTTATTTAAGAAAAGACTAAAAGAAATTATTTTATCTTTTGAAGACATATATTTATTTTTTTAAATTCAAAAATAAATATGAAGCTTATTACAAAGGTAATATATAATAGTATATCTGATCCACATCTTAAATATTAATGAAAACAGTACTTTTTAAAATATTTTTGTATTTATTTATAAAAGTATAAAAAAATTTCTTTATACCAATTTTATTTATATATTCTTACGAAGTTTATGTTCTCGCTATTTATTACTACGACATTATTTTGTTTTTTTTATTTTATATTTTTTGTTAATTTATTGTACTTACTATTAACGAGCTGTTCTCAATGATAATGCCTGAAAGTCTACTGCGCGTCTCCGCGTTCTTTTTTTTGTTTTTATTTTTATACCTGTATATTTTGTTATACTTTTTTATTATATAAAATTTTTTATCTTAACTATCTTATTGGATAAATTTATTGAATATTTAAGAAAAGAACAATATATATATATATATATATATATATATATATATATATATATATATATATATATATATATATATATAAATATATATATATATACATATATATATATATATATATATATATATATATATATATATATATATATATATATATACATATATATATATATATATATATATATATATATATATATATATATATATATATATATATATATATATATATATATATATATATATATATATATATATATATATATATATATATATACATATATATATATATATATATATATATATATATATATATATACATATATATATATACATATATATATATATATATATATATATATATATATATATATATATATATATATATATATATATATATATATATATATATATATATATATATATATATATATATATATATATATATATATATATATATATATATATATATATATATATATATATATATATATATATATATATATATATATATATATATATATATATATATATATGTATATATATTAACAATAACAGTAAAAACACATCAACTTTGAATAACGCTAATGTTTATTAAACAATAATTTTTTGTTGATAAAATAAGATTTACAAAAAATTAAAGATTAATATATTTTATTTTTAATATGAGTGGATGCTATGTGGTTAAAAATTAGTCATTAATTATAAAATGCGTCCTCTCTACTAAAATTTTTGTTCTCAATCTTTGATTTATTTTTAATTTTTAACTAATGTTTTTATTAAATAAATGTTTGAAAGCCTGTTCAAACAAATGTGCAATGTTATGTTTATTTCCTTCAAGATTTCAACTTTTTAATATGGTAAGGATAGTGCATCTTGAAGCCACTTTCATCTTTACTCGATACGGGCGAGCTTATTGAAACTATACCATACAATGATTTCTTAGATCAAATAAGTGAAGCCGTTTTTGCCCTTTTTACAAATTTTTTTGACATTTTCTCAAAAAAAAAAGAATTTTATTGGTTCTTATGAAAAATTTATCAAGGAACTTGAATTTTACTTCTAAAATAATTATTTTTTATTGTAAAACACTTAATTTAGCCATTTTCGTGCTAATATAAAAAAAAAATCAAACTTTTTCGTAAAATTTTTTTTTACAAAAAAGAGGTTTTCTGCTATTCAAGCTTCTCTTCTTTTCCTTAGATATCTTATTGTGTCTTCTTATTCATCTAAATGCTTAAATACTTCTTGTTTACATTACGTAACGCACGTGGAGCTTATTAGTTTAGTTTTACACAAAGTTACTATTATTTCTATACAAAATTTTAAACGATCGTTTTCTCTGAATCTACATTTTCATACTCAAAAATATCTCTAGTTCAATTGACTTGAATTTTTCACAATATGTTTAATACACTAGTGTCAACAAAATGTACCAAAATCAGCATTAATCTGCAAAGGAAAAGACGGTTATTGATACTTAGGTCTATTTTATATCATAAAATATATACACTTCAAGAAAAATACCATAAAATTTTAAATAAAATTTTTCTTTTCATTATTTTGGTACATTTTGTTAACACCCATGTACAAATGCTACAGCAAAATTTGATACCAATTGGACTCTGCAATATAGAGTTTACTTTGTACCATCGTAGGGTCCTTTTTGGCCTTTTTACCCCAATTATTAATGTTGTATTAAGTTTTTTTAAATTATTTTTAATTTTTTTATAGTGTTTTAAATACAAAAAATTTATTTGAATAGTAAAAAACTTTATACAGCACATTAAAAAAAAATAGTTCGAATGGGAATCTACCACCAAATCAAATAAATTTATATATTTTGTTATATATTTTAAATATAAATACTATGTAAAAGTATTAAGAGGAAATGAGAATACTTGTAAAATAATAATTTATTATTCCTTATTTATTTTTGATTTAAAATATATATATATATATATATATATATGTATATACAAATAATAATTTATTTTTTTTTTTAAATTTTTATTTAACCGAATATATTTTTCTGATACAAAAATAATAATAATAAATTTTAGAAAATAGACAAACAAAATAAAAAATAATAATAATGACAATAACTAAACAAATAAAAAAAAGCTATTAAAAGTTTTATAGGTAATTTTTATTTAAAAAAAAAATGGTGAAAAAGTTAAAACAAAATCACAGAACAAAGAATCCCAATTTTTACCTAATATCGTGTAATTCTACTATGAATTTTTAATACTATTTGGCATTGAGTCTATTAAGTTCTCTAAAATATGTTTTGCAACATATCCAAGTATTGTTAGTAAAATATTGCACAACTCCGCAAGATTCCTTGATGCTTTCTTGGCAATCTCTTTATCAAGCCAACTCCAAAGATTTCCATTGCAATTTAGATCTGGGCTATTTGGTGGCCAAGTTCAATACTTTTGCTTTCGAATCATTCAGAAACAATTTTAGCCCTGTGACATAGTGCATTGTCTTGCTGAAAAATGAACAAAACGAATTGCTCAAGTGCATCAATTGATGGTAACAAGTTGTTAATTAAAATATCGACGTAATAAATAGAGTTGAGTTGGCCATCAAATAATTCAAACATACTGAGATCATAATATGTCATGCAGCACTATATTTCAACCGACCCGCTAATTGTTTTGTTCTTTGAACAATACAATCAAGATTATTTTTTTCTGAAGGCTGCCTGCGAATCATAATTTGGTTTTTTCGGTTATTTCCTAAGTGCAAGTGATGCCGATGCTTGACGTCCGTTTGAAAGTTTTCATTCCCTCCCTAACTCATGCGGCGGCATGGTTCAATTTTTTTTACTAACCTGATTAAAAGGCAATCATCATTGGGTGACGTCAAACGCGGTCTTCCAGAACGAAGGCAATCAACGTAAGATTTTGTTTCTTTGAATCTTTTGATGATTGTTAGCACCAAACTATGTGATTGCTTTATTATTTTTCCAATTTCACGAGCGGTTTTACCTTCCTAGTGAAAATGCATCACTTTTACACAATCTTCATAGGTAATAGACTTTCTGCTCATTTTTTCAAAAAAAAAAGAAATTTTTTTGTTTGAAATCAAATTTCTTTTTTTTTAAATAAAAAAAAGAAAGAAATTTCAATTAACAATGAAGTTTTTTGGTAATAAATTAGGACACTTCCGCCGCATGTAGCACAAAAAATTCTTTGTGGTTCTTAACTTTTTCACAAAAAAAATATATTAAAAAATTAACAAATAATATTTAATCCTTATTTTCACAGGTTCTATTAATTAATTTTCAAAACAAAAAACTATTTCTTTTTTCTCATGTTCTATTTAATATGTTAAAAAAAAATAGACTATTTTATTATCTTTAGAATAAAAATTAGTTTTATTTGAAAAAAAAAATTTTTTATTTAGTGGTTCTTAACTTTTTCACAATAAGTATATATATATAATATCTATATATATAAGTTTCTAACTATGTTCAAAGAATTGATCTATAATTAACTATACTATAACTTAAACTAACTATAAATAAAATATAAATAAGAAATAAATCAGCAATGAACAAAGCAACAAAAAAAGACTAATTGACTATATTGATGATATTGAAAATAATATGCAATGATGAAATTGATATAAAATAAATGCAATGATAAAACATATAATTAAAAAATAATAACATGCAAAAAAAAAAAAAAAAATGAAGAAATTTGAAAATTATCTTATGTAATATAAATATTTAGTGAAAACCCGTTATTTTACCCCTGAAAATACCGCGCTTAAAAAAACAAACTAAAAAAAATTTGAAATAAACATTTTTTATAAACTAATGCTTACTTTAGTTAAAATATATATGTATGTATAGTATAATATTTATGTATTATATGAAATAAACATACGCATAATTATAATTAACAATTAAACATTTACATAGATAGGTTACTCGAGTATTTCTAGTCTCTTATCTCTTATGTAATATGTAAAAGTTTTTTTTTTTATTTACATTGATTTATAGTTATTTATAAATTATACTGTTATTAAATCAGATTCGAAAAAAACCCAGTAAAATTCACTACAAACACAAAGCATTCTGCGAAAAAATGCAACGTTAAGACAAAATTTCACGCTCGGCAATTTGTAATGCGCACGTGTGAGCACAAGGATTTACCGTGTGCTCAAATATTTTGTTCGTAAACTATCTAATATCAGAGATAAATCGTATAACGGAGATACAAATCTCAATAACTAATATGCAGTCGTCTAAAATAATTTTTTTCTCCCTCTTTTTAAATAATGAAATTCTTTATTAATGTAGATTGAATGAGAAATTTATTTTCTTTCAGAAAATATATAATTTTATCTTTTTTTAAACTTAGTTTTCCTAAAACTTCTTATAAATACATATACAAAGTTCTACCCTAAGCAACGTGGTTAACAACAACGTTTATAGGTTTTTTTAAACCAAAACTATTATTGTTGAAAAAAACAAATGATGCAATAAAGAACCGAAAGAAGAAACCAGGAAATATTAAGAAATCTCTCGAAGGAGGTAAAATTTCAGAATTTGTAAATAAATTTTGAAATTTCAGAATTTGTAAAAAAATTAACTAAAATAATTTTTTTTTATTTTAGTTAATTTTTTGTACTTCAATCACACAATTGTGTGATTGAAGTACAAAAACATATATTAAAAGAAATAAAATTTAGAACATCTGACAAACATCGTTTTTTCTCCGTATGACGCAATCTTTAGTAAAAATTGTTTGCTAAAAAAATATTAAAAAAAAAAAACTTTTTAATGGGGTGGCACGGGTACCCTGAAGGTGACCTAAGACCTTATATCAAGTCCCATGAAATTTTTTTTTTGTTTTTGAAAGTAGTACATTTGTACATTCTGAAACTATCAAAATTTAAATCATTTGTTGGTAGCTTTTTTAGAAAACTTAGTAAGAAGTTTTATAAATAACGATGTTTTCGTATTAAAATAATACTTTCCCGTCAGCCATTATAGTTGTTTACTTTCTGCAATTGCAGCAGCGTGATTGGCTTTAATAATATTTATTAGTTTCCGATTGGCTTATAGTTGTTGTTGCTTTAAAAGACTTTAACAATATTTATAAACACATTTTAGCAATAACAGCGATTTTATTTAATTAATTAAGTAAAATACTTATATTGACTTGAATTTAAAAGCCGATTAAAAAATATAGGAACTATTTCTCAATAATAGAAAAGAAATGCCATACTTTGCTAAAGATCATAACGAGTTTTTAAAATGCTTTTGCATATGCTGTATGAAAAAAAGTAATGATTTAAGATGCATTCAAACCAAATGCAATAAACCAGGTCCAAAACAAGCAAAAAATTATGAAAATCTTATCAAGAGATTTTTTTGGGAAAACTACTCTGTTGAAAACCCGGATCTGCCTAAAATGTTATGTTCTAATTGCAGAAAAAATATAGTGAGTTTAGAAAAAACAGATTCAAAAAGATTTTTATTCAAGGCTCGACCTAAGTACGAAGGTAAGTTTTATAAGAAAATAAGCCAATAAAAACCAATTATGTTTTGCATTATTATTGTTTTTCTTATAAACAATATTTTGTTTGCACTAAAAAAATAACTTTTTATTACTTTTAGGTCTTAATACTAGAGTTATTCGAGGTGGGAAATGTGAGTGTTTTATTTGTGTTAATGGGCGTAAAAATGGTACTGAAACAGCAACTCTTCCACCAATGGTATCTTGTGAAACTAATGCAGATATTGATCAAAGTCACAGTAATTTGAATCTTTCGACTACCAATGAAAATCTTGTTCTTTGCAGAAGTTGTTTTCAACAAATAGGAAAAGTATTAAACATCCTTGCACAAAGTTAGCTAAGCAAAGGAATTTGATGCATATAGTACAATCAACCTCACCTGTTACTAAAGAAAAGGTTTTATCCACCACAATCAACAATTTAGTAACCCATGATGCAAAAATAACATTGAACACCTTTGGCCCTAAGAAGCTTGTTGTTTCTATTGGAGTAGTTGAACCGAAAACACCGTACTTTTCACATTCAAAACTGAAACAACTACAGAGCAAACTTCATACAAGGTATAGATTGTCTACTACTAAATTCAAGAAATATAATTTATTTTAAAAAATCATTTACTGTTTTTATCATTGTATCAAATTTACTAGTGACAATAAGATGTTAGAAATTGCCCGATTTATACGAGTGAATGGAGGAAGAAAATCTGTTGAGCCTTATTATTCTGAAAAGTTAACCGAAGAAAACAAAAATCTATTGTTTTTGTTTGATGCTGAGCTTATGCTGATCCAGTCAAAACAGAATACTGGAGATAATAAAAAAGTGGTATAACTAAATATATATATATATATATATATATATATATATATATATATATATATATATATATATATATATATATATATATATATATATATATATATATATATATATATATATATATATATATATATATTATATAGTGTTTATATATATATTTACATATATATAGTGTTTTACTTTAACTAAAGATTTTCAGTTTCTTAAAAAGCTCTATAAAAGTAATATATTATAATAAAATATTATTCTATGCAACATTTTAATTTTATATTTTTGTATTTGATTAATTTGAAAGTTGATAATTTAAAATAAATCATCATCCTTGGACTTAAAGTTGTTTTGTAATTATTTAGTGTATTGAAAGAACTATTCCTGGTGTAATTTGCGATAATGTTGATGAGTTTGTTGCAACAGTTTTGCGACGTAGATCTCTTGAACCAGAGAATGTTGATGTTAAGATTGGGGTAGATGGAGGGCAAGGCTATCTTAAGGTTACTTTATCAATCACATTAAAGCCAGAGCTTGAAGTACATTCAATTGAAAAGAAAAGAGTGAAATATTCTGATGAGTATGGATTTAAAGAATTCAAGTATACTAGTGTTCACAAAACTTTAGTTTTGGCGGTATTACCCTCTATTGATGAAAATTATGCAAACATAAAAATGTTGTTGGATAAATTAAAACTTAATTCTCTGGATTACTCTATTTCAGAAGATCTAAAGGTTCTTCTTCTGATGGTTGGAAAGCAGTCAGCAGCTTCGAAGCATCCTTGCCCATTTTGTGAAACAGAATTGCCAAATATGCTGAGAGCTAAGTCATATTCTCTAACTTCTCTGTGTGATTGGTGTAACAAATGGATGGCTGCAGGAGGAAACATTGCAAAAGCTAAAAATTTTAGTAACGTAGTTAATCCTCCTTTATTGACTGGAAATGTAACAAAGAAGATCTTAGAAATTGTTAATATACCAGGCTTACATATTTTGCTAGGCATAGTAGACAAGTTACTCAAAATAATTGAAAAAAACTTGTTTGAGGACACTAATCAAGGATTTAATTTTGTAAATAGTTATCTATCTACAATTAATCTTGCCAGAGTACCTTATCAAGGTAAACACAGGTTAGAAGGAAATGCATCCAACAAGTTTTTAAAAAAACTTGATTGCTTTCAAATATATCTGGATGAGCACAATATTATTGGTGGCAAATATATGAAAGCTTTGAGAGACTTTAGCGATGTTGTTCACGGGTGTTTTGGGAAAATATTAAATCCAAACTACTCTGATTATATTAAAAGATTTTCACAAAGTTTCAGAGATCTTGGTTCAAACATTCCTCTTAAAGTTCATATAGTGGAGCATCATGTTAAAGAGTTTATTGTTATGAAAGGAGGAAAGTTTGGTAAGTGCATATTTAGAAAATTAACTGATAACTTTTTAAATTTTAACATATAAAAATAATAATATTAAATATTTTGAATTAAGGTTTAGGGTATTGGACTGAGCAAGCATTGGAATCAGTCCATCAAGACTTCAAACAATTTTGGGAAATACGAAAGGTAGGACAAGACAACGCTAATTTTAAAGAAGTCTTGCGAAGAGCTGTCTGTGTGTACAACACAATGCATTTATAGTTAAATGTAGTATTTTTTGTTAGTAAATATTTCCTTTTTTTTTTTTATAAATAAAACTATTTTATTTAGAATTCTTTCATTACAAATCCAAAGATGATTCTATATGGGCATTGTATTCCTGTAGACCTACATTATCCTCTTCAATAAAAAAGAAAGCTAACTTTTAAGAAGTGATAAATTAGTCAATGTTCTGACTAGAATGCCCAAATTATCAGAATTTATATCAAAATACGATCCTCAAATTGTCAATCCACTAGATCAAACAACCAAACAAATTATATACAGCTATTTAATTCACTTGCAGGGGTCTTAGGGCGAGTCAGAGGGGCATTAATATCTAGTTAAAACATGTCTTAAAGCTTAGATTTCTCAAAAAGCTACCAAAAAATGATTTACTTTTTAGTAGTTTTGGAATGTGCTCATGGACTACTTTCAAAATCAAAAAAAAAATTTCATGGGATATGATATAAGGTCTTAGGTCACCTTCAGGGTACCCGTGGTGGGTGAATAAAAAAAAGCAATTACTTTAACTCAGCGTTTTTGCAGCTTTACGCGAATAAAAATTTTAGCAAAATCACTAAAATATTTTTTTACGTAAAGTTGAGCAATTACTTTAAAAATGTAAAAGCTATTTCTTTGTTTTATTTACCTGATCATCAACACTGAATTTAATATAAATAGTCGCACACCGTTGACCATCGTACACAGAACATTGCTTCAAACGGATGCGTTATCGATGCACGAAATACCGAATACCGATAATTGGTAGTACAGTTACTCTATTAATGTTAATACAAACAACCAATCAAAACAACTTACACTTTTTAATTTATTTAATGTTGCTATAAATATTAAATTTCATATGAAAATAAGCCATAAATAAAATTTTTTATGAATGTGTGCCATTCTTTAGTATTGTGTAATTCATTATAATGTTCTAGTGTTTATTTGTAGTTTTTCGTACCTATATAAAATTCGCCCTAGTATTTTTAAATAATTTAATAGTTTAAAATCTATGATTCTAGATGTTTTTGATATAATTTTTCTTGTTGAGTGTAAAGTTTCTTTAATTTTTTTAACTGAGAGCTGCTTAGTTTTTCTCCGTTCGAATCATGAGTAGGAATACCCTAAAAAAAAAGTTATAAAAGTTGAAAAAGTTTGAGTAAATAAACAACTTCTAAAAAACGGATATTTTTCTTATGAAATGTATTTATTATTTTAAAAAACAACGTAAAAACCTGTTCATCAAACAGAGAGTATTTGTCTTGCTCAAGTTTGAACATTTCTGACGGGGGGACTTTGGCTTTGGCTTCCTTCATAAGCTATATAAAATCATAAAAATAAGAATTTCAACAAGGACATTTAAATATAAAAAAAAATTGGGGGCATTTTGTTTATTTTATTTGCTAACAACATCAAGCAATCATTCATGTTTAACTGTCGAAGAGGTCTCATACCTTTTCCTCTAATTGTTTTTGCTTTAATTCTTCCTTCTCTCGTCGCTTCTTTTCAATCTCCTGAAAAAAATTTGTGAAAAGTTATGAAAAGGGTAAAACTAGAAGAAAAAAAAAAAAAATAATAACAAAAAAAACAAACAAACAACGTACATCTAACTTTTGTTGCCGTTCTTTAAGTAATGTTTCTTTGTCAACTAATTTCACAACGGGAAGGTTGTTACCTAAATTATTGTAAGTATTACCTATTGAATTTTAAATTAAATAAAAAAAAATTTTATCTTGTTTTTAAATTTCTAAAATTAAAACCACTACATTGAGTGATAATATCCTTTTTTTTTTCATAAATATAAATTTTTTAACTATTGCTTATAATAATAATAATAATAATAATAATAATAATAATAATAATAATAATAATAATAATAATAATAATAATAATAATATATATATATATATATATATATATATATATATATATATATATATATATATATATATATATATATATATATATATATATATATATATATATAAACTAAAAAATGGTTTAAAAACGACAAGTCTGCAAAAAGAGAACATTAAAAACAGTTAGTTACGAAAATATACTTATTTAGGGAATATTTAAGAATTAAAAAAATACACTCATTTTATACACAAAGATAAAAAGGGCTCTTTTTTTTTTTAAAAGGCAGCCAAAATAAAAATGGCAGTCTTAAACGAGTTGCACACGTTAAAAAAATTAGATGTGGACGTGCATCACTCATTAAAAATGGCAGATATAAATCAAATGAGCAGATAAGCGTATCTAATCCTCTGAACTATAAAAACTGAATAACAAGTTCTTAGCACTACTGAGTTGTAAAAAGATTTAGGAGTATCAATTGCACGAGATTTAAAATGGGAAGCTTAAATTAAATCAGTAGTAGCCAAAGCATATAATAGATTGGGTTATTTGTCAAAAATATTTAAATACAAAACAAAATCACCTTTCAGACAATTCTACTTTAGTTGTGTGAGACCATACATTAAGTATGCAATTGAAATTAGGTTGCCTCATACGGAAAAAGATATAAATATCTTTGTAAACAAATAAAGACGAGCGATAAAATTGATATCGGAAATACAACATCTATTATCTTTATGAAAAATGATTATGCTCTTAAAATTTTACAATTTTATCAGAAAGAAGAAAAAGAGGGGTTTTAAAAAAAGTTTTTAAATGCTATAAAAGTTTTGAGGTCATATATATATATATTGAGGTCAATGCTCTTAAAGAACAGAGCAATAATAAATTAGTAAAAACAGTTATCTAATTTTTGGTTTATTCAACAGCATGTTTTTCCATCAGTAGGTTCATCAGAAAAGTAATTAAACTAGATAAATATTTTTTGCTGTAAAATCATTTATCTAAGACCTCTTCCGCGTGAAAATGCTAAAAATGAACCATTGAAACAAATACAAAAAAATATTTACATTTGAGAGAAAAATACAGCACTTTCTATTTCCTTTAAATCAGAAAAAATGTCTTTAAGTTTTCAAAACGCAAACTATTTTATTTTCTTGTACTAGTGACCAACCCAGTCCCAATCATGTATTCATAATGTCTTTAAAGATCTTTTGTCCTTCTCTTTAAGATTTATCTAAAATATGTAAAACTTAGGATTCTTTATTTTGATCTCTAAATCTGCAAATTTCTATTTTGAAATCTTGGAATTTTAGAATTCAGAAATTATAAAAACTTTTAACAATTGAAGACCCACCCACGGGTTTGGTTGTCACATACAATGAGCTGGCTACCACATAATTGGTACGTTTTGATTAAATTTAAAACTAGTACCAATAAATTTTGTTTATATAAAACTAAGAATAAATCTAAATAATCTGAAAAAAAAAGTTATATACTGAAAAGAAAAAAAAAAATACTATTTACCGAAAAAAGTTTTTTTTTTTTAATATAACGCTATAAACACATTTAGTTTAGGACTATTTAGATGTTTTTAAAAATGGTGTTTTTATAAATTATTGGATGAAGAACACAATTTACATATAAATTGGTGTAAGCCTGGTGTGCATTCTTCATAAGCACATTTTTGGTAAGTCCACTGTTCTCTTAATCTGCCGTTAGCAAATGATTCACAACAATAGATACATAGATATTCTTCTTTTTTAAAAAAAAAAATTAGCAAACCATGCTTTGACAGCTGAGTAAGTATGAATTATAGATGAACGCTTTTTCTAAACTCTTTTTGACACTAACCTTGGACCTTTAGGCAGAGGCCTTATACTCTTAGGTAGTATAATTGAATTTGTTATAACTAAACTTTTAAAACTCGAGGCAATTGTGAAAACCATCCCCTATATTATATGACAAGCAACCCCTTCTATGTAAGTTGCAAGACACCTGTAAATTTATCTAAAAGCGTGTGAATTTCATGAGAATTTTTGTGGATTAAGTTTCCAAATGAATAAAAAACTTTAAAAATGTACATTCGAAGCACAATAAAATAATTTTCGTTTAATAAAAGAAAATTTCTGAGTAAGCGAAATTTAACTTTTTCATATTAAAAACCTATAAAAACGAATAACTTTTTTTCTACACGCTAAAAAAACTGAAAATTACAGTGAAAATGTTTTTTTTTTATATAACATTTTCATTGTATGATTTTAAAGTTCTAAACCTTTTCTACATTTCCTGTAGTAAATATTTTGACAACAAGCCCAGTGTGACAACCAATCCCGCTCTTCCCTATATGTAAATTTACTTTTCCCTATATGTTAATTTAATAATGGCTGTGTGTTCAGAAAAGATATAATTGAAGACATAAGTGGATGAAGGCGTTAAGTTACAAAAACAAGGAACTGAGATATTTGGAGTTAAATTTTAAACACATTTTGTTTCAGATGTTTTTCTACAGCAAACAATTTTACGTTAGCAAAACTATTTTTAAATTAAATATTTACAGAGCATTATAGTAATCAAACATAGCATTGTTAATGGATGAATGTATTTAAATCCCTTAGCACCTACATCCATATTTTTTATTGTTGCAGGTGAATTGATAATACATAATAAAATAAATGATATGTAAAAACATAACACTGTGAAAATGTTATTTTGGCACATTTTTAACTTTTTTATGTTTTTGTGCGATATTATTAACTTCATGTGAAAGAGCATTATTTAAAACCTTTATCTGCACAAAAAAGTGGAAAGACACAGTGAGCCCAGAAGGCAAAGTTTTAGAAATTTTGAAGTTTTGGAAATTATAACTAATGATTAAGAAATCCTAAAAAACTCATTCCTAGGACTTTTTGGAAAGATATTTTTTTACTTATTATAGGAAAGTTTAAATTTTTAATATTCAACTAAATTTATGGACTGGGTTCAAATAACCATATTTGAGCATTTTTGATAAATTAGTATTTTTTGATAAGTACTCAAACTTAAATTTTTTATTAGGTGACAATTAAAAGAGTATTTTATTAGATATACTTAAAGAAAAGAAAATTTTAAAATTTAATTAAATTTGCGGTCTGGTTTTTACTGTTTATCGATAAGAAAATTAGTACTTAAAAATAAGTATTCAGTGGATCTGGATTTAAGAAATGTTAGTGTAATAAAATTATAAGGAAAAAGTTCTAATGATTTGATCTTGCAACATATATTTGAAGGTAAAAGGTTAAAATAGAAAAAAAATTTAATAACTTTATAACTAATCATATATGAGGTTTTCAAACATATCAAAATATCTCTTTGGTTTCGAAAACATACGTTTATGAGATCTGCTTGTATGCTCATTTGAACTACAATCTTGGCATAACTTTAAAGTATGCGAATGGATAATTTGGTTTAAAACACCAGGATCCGATCATCCTTATTATCTAGCTTTTTGTACAGCATTCATCCTTCTGATAATCAATCTCAAATACTTCACTAACTCTCCTAATATCTGTCTATTCAATAGTTTTTGTTTTGCTAAGTATAAAATCTGCAGCTTCTAGTCTGCTGAAAAGTTGTTTAAAGTTTAAATTCTTCATTGTATCTTGAATATAAACTTTGACAATATAAAAGTTCCTGTATCCTCTGTTTTTTCATCTTATCACTCATTTCTGTAAAAGATTTTCTTTGTTTTGTGAAACATGGTTCTGTAATGTAAACATCCTCTACTTCATAAATAATATCTTTTGATGCTTGTGAAAGTATAAATGCATATCCATTTTTTAAATGTTTTTCTTTCAGATGTTTATAACCTTTCCATTTTTTTTCACATACTTTTTCAAATTCCTGTAAATTAACTGATAGTTCAAAGATTTTATGAAGCATTTCTTTAATGGCTGACAATATTACTGAGTTTGAGTTAACAGTTTAGTCAGTTTTAAATAATTGTGTAAATAAATCAGTGATGCATTTTACATTTTATTTTTCCTCCATTACATTTATTTTTTATTTTATTTTACTTCTGATGAAACAAACACAAAACTATATCAAACAAATAATCACTGCTCAATTTTTTCATGTAAAAAAAAATATTGCTAACTTGCCTCAGTTTCTATTAAAATATTTAAAAAAAAGAAGTATTAAATTTTTAAAAAATGTATGACACAGTAGAGGCAAGCTAGCACTTTTGAAAAAACGTAAGATTTAATCTGATTTTTTGTAAAAAAAACAACACAAATTTACAAAATTACATAATCAAGTTTAAAAAACTCAAAAAATAAATAAAAATAAAAAAATTAAACATTTTAAATTTGTTTATTCAAAAATATTTGAATTCTATATCTGTTTTTTCTGAATTTGATATTCTATATCAAATTAAAAATATCTTTTACATAAGTGGTTCAGCAAATTTCATATAAGTGAATTCATTTTGAATGAAAACCAACCAAATTTATTTAACTTTTTTACATACACAAAAAAAACTTCATAAGTTCAAAAGTACATATCATCACTTAGAAATTAGCTAGAAACATGATTTTTTTTTTTATTTACCCACAAATTTATCTAACTTTCTGCATTAAATAATTTTTATAAACTTTCTCAAAAAAATATTTTTTGTCTATTGTTACCTCTAGGCCTACTGTGCTAGATGTTTTAAGTATTCAGGTTTTATTGAAATGAATATGGCATCTGGTATTTTTTACTTTGAAAAAAAATCTAAACTTAATTTTGTTCTCTCAGTTTATAAAGACCTTATAAAATTTTTGCAATTGTGGTTTGAAAATCTCTCGCTTCATTTTCCAAAGGAATAAAATGTTTTTTTAAAAACTCTTCTGCTAACAGCTCTTTAACTGTATTTATTCTTAGTCAAATTAGGCTTAATTTAATTATAAATTAATAAATCATTTAACAAATTAATTATAATAAATTAATTAGGGGTGAGACTTGCTAGTAGTCAAATTTTATAAATAAAAAAGGTGTAATAATTGTAGTGAAATAATTTAATTACAAATAGTTACTTTGGTAACTCCTATATTATTAGTAAAATAAAAAGTTTATAGTTTTAGAAATATTTTATTTGAAATATTTTATATTTTATAATGTAAATAAAACAAACCTTCATGATCTTCAAGCTGAACCCCAAGTTCAGGTAGCTTCGTGTCTCTGATTTCATCACACATTTTTAAAATTTCAGGAACCTTTTTCTCTCTTGCAACCTTTCTTACACTTTCACGAAACTCAGCAACAAGTTGTATGTAGGGCATAACTATCTCTTCATGCTTTTGAGGAAAAAGAAGATTTATTTTACATTTATATATGCAAACTTTAAACTTTGATTTTTATATGAATATCATTGCACATTTTTGCATAGCTATTTTTGCTAACAAATCAAAATATAATAAAGAAACTGTAGCCAATCAAAAAAGGTAAAATAATACTAGAATTTTGCATATATATTTACATATAAAAAGTATATTTACATACAAAAGGAAAAATAATACTAGAATTTTGCAATTATATTTACATATATAAATACTAAACTTTGATTGTTTTATGAATATCATTTGCTCAATTGAAGGGTTCAGCGGAAAGTGGTCTAACCCACATAGCGGAAAGTGGTCTAACCCACATTTTTGAAATTACTCAGATAATCACTGCAAACCATTGAGTATGTAGTTTGTTGTGGAAAAAGTGTTGAACCCAAATATCCACTCGAACAGTGCTGCTATCTATAATCATATTTACTTTAAAATAAATAAAAAATTTGAATTGTGGAAAAGTTGCCTATCCCACAATCAACATGGCGAAAATAAACAGCTCAAATTTGGAAGACTTTATAACAAAAAGTGGTTGTTATGGTTTAGGTGCAGATAAGAACCCTTCTTTAGCAGATGATATTAGCGAAGGTATGTATATAATTAATACAGCATCAAGATATAATTTTAATTGAGTTTATCATACAATAATATAGTTTCTAACCTAATGTTGTTTGGGCAGGTTTTCTTCTTCTAGTTTTTTCAAAACTGACATTCACTTTTTTATTGCAGATTCAAGTATTGGATCAATATGTTGAAAAAAATGGAAGACCTCTATCTATATTAACAGGACTTAATGGTATATACAATTTGTCTAAAAATAAATAGGCTTATAAAACGAATTTTTTAGTTTTATTAATATGGCCTAGGACCAATTGTTTACATTGGTGTTTGGCCTAGCAACAGACTAGCTAGGGCCATTTAGTTTGTTTTGTTAGGAGTTCTTTTTCAAATTTATTTAAATTCAAATGTTAATATTGTTGGAGAAGTAGGTGAGGATGACAGCTTCTCCCAGGAAGTACCAGAAGAAACCCAGTCTCTTTCGAGAAACAAAAAACAGACAGACAGACATAGTCGTAAGCGAGTTGCCCATCCAGAACTACAAACTTTTTCTGAAACAGAAAAAGTTAACAGGGGAAGGTTATGTTACAACAAAGGGCAAAGTAGTTAAACCAAAGACTTTTATTAACAAAGATTGTGGTTGCAATCTTGAGTGAAGCAGTAAAATAAAAGTTGCTCGCTGTAATCAAAGTTTTATTTGCTTATTTTCAACATACCAACCACACTATAGCCGAAAGGACAACCAGTACAGAAATTATCAGCAAAGAAAATGATCGCAACCAACTTTCAATTTTTCTATTTCGACACATATTCAATACAAAATTCAATTTACATTTTCACCAACCGCAATCAGATACATGTCAAAAATGTGATCTATTTAACAATAAAATTAGGTGTCTTTAAGAGGGTGAAGAAAAGAACACTGTTAGGAGGGACCTTATTATTCATCAAGAGATGACTAAAAAGGCAAAAGTAAAAATGAAAGAAGATACTCTAGATGTACAGACAAATCCATACAAGAGGGTATTAGTTTTTGACTTACAAAAAACTCTACCAACACCAGTGTTTAGTACAGGAATAGCCTACTAAAAAAGGCAAATGTGGACTTACAATCTTGGAATCCATGATGAAAACTTAAAAACAGGATTTATGTATACATGGAGTAAAGAACAAGCATCTAGAGGTACTCAAGAGATAGGTTCGTGTATCTTCTGCATTTTTTTTTTGACACATACCAGACATACATAACTGACCCATTTAATATTGTATAGTGATAGTTGTGGTGGCCAAAATCGTAATATAAAAATGTCTCTTATGTTACAATGTATTTTGCACAAATCTCCATCTCTGAAAACCATTGAAAAGAAATTTTTTGTACCAGGGCATAGTTTTTCCTCCTGCGACCGAGACTTTGCTGTGATTGAAATAGCCAAAAAAAAAAAGGATCAAATATTTGTTCCAGACCATTGGATAAACCTTACTAAAATTGCAAAGAAGAGAGCCCCGAAAATTATTGTAAGAAAAATGGAGACCCATGAACTTTTCAGTACAAAATCAATGGAGAGTGGGATAACCAATAATAAATGACGGAAAAGTTTCATGGCTAAAGACATGCTGGATAAAAATTGAAAAAGGATCACTATGCTTATTTCAAATGAAGCAAATGCATTTAGAAAATGACAGATTCATGTTGCTGGACATAACAATGCGAAATCGTGGACGGCCAACTGGCACTACCAATGTTGAACTTGAGCCTTTGTATCCCAATGTTAGAAAACTCACAAAAGAAAAGCTGATCTTTTAGAGCTAAAATAATTCATACCGCCTGTCCATCATCCCTATTATTTCGCTTTTAAAGGTGATGAGGAGGCAACTGATTTGGGTCTAACGGATGATTCTGGTGACAAAAATAAAAATTAGTGAATGCTACATATATAAAAGAATCATTAACAAGTCATACAAAATATCCGTTTAGCCTAACCAACTCCATTAACAATAATTACAAAAATTTGATGAAGCTAAGTTGCCTAACTTTTTTGTTATTGCAGAACACAGTAATATAGTGTCCTAATTTTTTTAAAGATATATCAGTGTATTTTTTCATCTGTCTTTATAATAAATACTATCCTTCTGATAATGATACTTTTTTCTGTTAATTTTAAAAAGATCCTTGAAGTCTTTTACAGTTTACTAAAAATGAAGTAATTGTGGCTTAGACCACTTTTCCGCTGAGCCCTTCAATTAATAAAATTCTGCATAATTATTTTTGCTAACCAATCAAAATATAACAATGAAACTGCAGCCAATCAAAAAATAATAATACTAGAAGGTCACACAATGCAATATTTAAAATAACTTTAAAACCTTTAAATTTCCTGAAACATCAACTGATGAAAAACCAATTTCTTGATCTCCATCATTAGCTCCAAAAATTTTTAACATCTTGGTTAAATACTTTGCGATACCTCCTATAACTGCATGATTCGGTACTTTATTGTTCTGCCTTGCTTGCCCAATATAAATGTTTGCTAACTTGACAAGTGATTGCATTTGTTGAACAGCAACTACTGTGTTAATTGAGTCTATACACAGGAATAAATTGTAATTATATCATTTGTTTTATTCTTAAAGATTAAAATAACTGAATTATCAACTATTTATATATTTATTTCAATTTTTATAACTAAACATGTAAATATGTTATAAAACAAAAATTATGTATTAACAATATTAAAAATAATCCAATAATTACTGATTTTTTTTTTATAACAATAATAAACAATGCTATATCAAGTAAAAATAATGTCTAACCACAAAGGGCTTCATGGATCTTTTGTTTTTTTTCCATAAAACTAAAAATAAAAAACTAAAAATAAAATCTAAAATTAAATATAAATTTAAATATGTAAAATTATATTTAATATACTTATTACCAGGCTTGGTCAGGAAACGAGAGCGATTGCTATCGATTGCTGACCACGAAAATAATATTTAGTTGCAAAAAGCTGGCCAGATTTTTTAATCATTTTGAGAACATTTTAAAAAGCGAAAAAAAAAAAAAAAAAAAGCGCAAAAGATTAATTAGGAAAATAAAATATCTATTAACGCGAAAAAAACTTAAAGCAAAATAAATTATGTTTAGAACAAGTATTTTCGCAACTTTTATAATTTTTTTATAAAATAAGGCGACGTTTTTTATTTTAAGTAACATCTTACGATTGTTTAAAAAGGAAACAATTGTTCTTTATTTAACAAAGTTTGCAAGTTTTAGTTTTGTCTAAGCTAAATTATTTTATAAACAAAAAAGTTAAATTTTTTAATACCTATTTTATGTTTCGCATAGTTTGAAAAGTTTAACATATTTGAAACAATTATTCTTAGTAAGATAAACAAATGAAACAATTAAATCATTAAATTACTACCCGGTGGGAAATGAGCTAGCGACTAGCTAGCTTTATAGCGATTTTCAATCCATTATTTTTTTCTTTTCTTGTTTTTTCCTAATGTCTTGAATGTCTTTAAAAGTTTGATTTTTAGTGTTAAGTCTATTATAATTATGAGAATAATTAAATTTCAAACATTGCGATTTTGTAGCAAAGTGTCGCTAGCTACATATTGTAGCTTTATAGCTAGCTACAAAATATCTACAAATCTATAGCAGGTTGATAGCTATATATCAAAATTTTTTAGACAGCGATTTTATTACAATATGACGCTAGCTACAATAACCAGTGAGTCTTTAGCTTATTAAGCTAGCTGTCCTCGCAGCCAAATTGCTGTTTTTATCTTTACAAATATCGATAGCTTTTCGCTAACTTAAAAAAGCTAGCAATCCTCATGGCCAAATTGCTGTCTTTATTGTTACAATTATAGCTAGCTATTCGCTAGCTGATTTCCCACCGGGTATAGAAATTAAATTAACTAGATACAAATCAACTAAAAAGGTTTAAAATATTTTATGATGAGGAAGCAAAACTTCTTTACAATATTGCTGATGATGTTTAGTGAGTGGGCTTATAAATTTTAATTAGTATTTAAAGCAGAAAAAAGTATATTAAGTTTTTAAGAATGGCAACTTTAAGCGAAAAAATTAGAGTTAGTAAACCAATATCTAGAAACTTTTCTTTATATCTAATAACTTACTATATATATTTGTGTTCTGTCGTGACCTTAGGAGCAGTGCTTGTTCTTTCGCGAGTTACTTTGTATGCATTGTTTGTGTTTAGTAACCAGAAACTTCTTATATGTTTGTTACATAATTAGTTTTATTAACTTTAATGATTATAACTTCATTGAAAAAGCAATTATTTTTGTAAGTCTTTGTTTACAAATAAATCATAAAACTTGCTTTAAAAGATTACATTACGATAAAAAACAGATACACAAAATTACATTTACAAAAAAAATACATACTTTTTAAATAAAAAATAAGAATATACAAATAAAATCTATAATTTATAATTAACTTTCAAAATTTTGATAATTTAAATAATATATAGTTAAAAATTTATTTTTGTAAACAAATAATAATAGTTTATAAGATTTACGACTTTGCGTATTTAGTCAGCGTATTTTTTGAACCAATAGAATTAGTTTGTTTGTTAATTTGGCGGGTTTTTAGTGTTCGCAAATATTCTTTTTATTATCACGCACTAAGATGTTTTGAGAAAATTCAATTTTTTTGTGTTTCCATGTATGTCTGTAAAACAAAAATTTTTTGTTTCGTACATAACTTAAATGTTCTCAAAACAACTAAAAAACATGGCTAGTTTTTTGCAACTAATTATAATTTCCGTGGTCAGTATTCAAGAGCGATCGCTCCCGCTTCCCGACCATACTTAAAAAGTATGGTCAGGAAGCGGGAGCGAGCGATTACTATACTTGAAAAAAAATAATGTCAAAAATAAAAAAAATATACATAGAAATAAAGATGAAGGTATCTTAAAATTTACACATAGAAAACAAATTTTTTAAAAACTAATTAATTAACAACAAATAGAACTAAAAAAATAAATAAAAAAATAAATTGATTAAAATAATTTTTAAGCTTTTAAATTTACAAATTAATTTATAGTAAAATTAATTAAAAACATAAAATAAAAATATTGTCAAATTATAAAATTGTTATTTCAAAAAATTAAAATATTTTATCAAAGAATTAAAATAAGAAATTAAAATAATAAGTAATTAAGTAAAGTGTAATTAAATTGCACAAATATAAAGACAAATTGAAAACATAAAAAAAAACTAATATATTTAGAAAACTATTTAGAAAACTTTAATGATGAAATATTAAAAAAATACATTAAAATTAATACAAAATTTAAAAAAAAAAAAGGAAAAAAATATACTTATTCTGGAGCAACTTCTCTTCTTCTTTATAATTGTGTGAAGTCAACGAGAAACTTTCATTGTTACGGATGATGTCTTTGACATTCAAGAAAAAGTCCTTCCAAAACAAATAAAGAACCAAATTACCATTACCAATTTACATAATTAAGTTAAACTATAATTAAATCTCCACATTGAAAACTTACCATAAACAGTTTCTCAATTTGTTCTGCTTCTTTCAAAACATTACTACTGTAGTCCAATGTAGCATTCCATGCGTGTAGGAGAAAAGCAAGACGAATTTGCCTCGAAGTATTTTTTTTCAATGCATCCTTCAAAAGAAAATAGTATTAGAAATTTAACGCAAAAAAAGTTTTAATAAAACATTTTTTTAAAAGTTTCATACTAAATTTACAATATAATACATAAAAATAATAATCAATTAACAACAAAAAAACTATTAGGGAAAAAAGAAATATTTCAGTATCAAGTAATTAATCAAATTTCATTTTAAAGGTTTTATATATATATATATATATATATATATATATATATATATATATATATATATATATATATATATATATATATATATATATATATATATATATATATATATATATATATATATATATATATATATATATATATGTATATATATATACATATATATAGATATATACATATACATATATATATATATATATACATATATATAGATATATACATATACATATACATATACATATATATATATATATATATATATATATATATATATATATATATATATATATATATATATATATATATATATATATATTTATATATATATATATATATATATATATATATATATATATATATATATATATATATATATATATATACATATACAGGGGCTATTCTAGACCATTTTTGACAGCATCGACTGTATTTGGGAGCGACCCAAATTAAGAATTGAGGACCTTTTTTTTTTTTCAAAAAAATGCTGATACTCGGGTATATATCTGTTAAATTTCTCCAAGAGGGGGCAGTACCGCCACCTAAATTTTTTCCCTAGAATAGCCCCTGGTATATAAGGTCGCCTGAAGGTGAGAAGGGTAGGGAATTATTGGGAGGAGGGTTAAACACCCCTCTAAATTAAAAAAAAATTATTCAAAAATTATTCGGCAAACTTGGAGTAGGGAAAATTGAATGTGTGGTTGGCAGTCAGCAAATGTTAGCAAACAAGGAACTTTTTTTTTCAAGGTCTTAGTTAGGAACATTTTTATTCTAAACCTTATTTCTAAAAAAAAAACAACATTTTATATTAATATTACAAAAGCAAATCTTTATAAACAAAATATATACTTATAAAAATAAAACACCAGAGAAACCAGAGTTTATTTGGGAATACCGCTTTTTTTCAGCAATGTTGGGGGGGGGGGGGGAGTAAGGGGAGGTCTTTCCCCCCCCCCCCCCCCCTCTTTCCTTCTCCTTTCTCAGTTAAAATCAGTGACGCGACAATGATTTTTAATCATAAATTTTTCAATTATCCTAAAATTTCAATTATAAATTTTTCAATTATCCTAAAATTTCCTATAATAAGGAGTTGATTTAAAGGCATATTTTTTAATACATGAATTTACCAGTGGGCGATGTTACTTTATTTACAATAAGAAAACTATTTTGCTTAAGACTTGTTGCAAATACCATGCTATTAGTAAACAATTATTAAAAATTGTTTAAAGTTTTTTAAACATTTATTAACTATACTTAGAAAATTTTATTTTATTAGCTATTAATGTTTTAAATAATTAGTAATGAATCTATTAAATACTTAAATAATAATTTTCAATTAATTTTAAATTAAATAAGAATTTTTAATTAATATTTACATTACATAAAATTTACATATATTGAATCACATAATATTTGTAAAATTAACAAAATAGTTATGTCTTACATTCGAAATAACAAAATATTTATGTCTTATATTCGAAAAAACAAAATAGTTATGCCTTATATTCGAAATAACAAAATAGTTATGTCTTATATTCGAAAAAATAAAATAGTTATGCCTTATATTCGAAATAACAAAATAGTTATGTCTTACATTCGAAATAACAAAATAGTTATGTTTTACTTTCGAAATAACAAAATAGTTATGTCTTATATTAGAATAACTATTTGAACAAAAAATATAAGTATTTTATAAACATATTTACAATTATTTTAATTTTTTTGATTTAAATATGAGCAAATCTGTTTATTTAACTTAATAAAGGTTAATTTTTAAAGGGATTTTAAGGCGCCTTTTAAATTAAAAATAACTAAAAATTATTAATTGTAATATAATATTATAATTATAATATTTTTTAATCATTAAGTATAATTTAAAAAGTTATGTTTAATAAATAAGCTACATTTACTATGGGTTATTTTAAATAGATCCTAATAAAACTTTTATTAGGTTAAATTATTATTTTTATTATTTTAAAAGTATAAAAGAAAGGAAACAAAATTTTCTGAAAAAGTTTATAATTTGTTTTTTCGTTTTCTTCACGTAAACTATAACAGCAAGCTAAAGATCAAAAGTTCATTCATTAAAAAGTTGAATTTGACTGAAATTTTTTACTTTTGTTTATTTATTATCAAAAGCAGTTTACTCTAAACTGCCAAAAAACAAAAGTTAACTTTACTTTGAATAAATAATTTAAAATATTTTTATCTTTCGAAGACGCACATTTTCTATACATTCCATTGTTATTTGCCACAAGTTTTTAAAATTAGGTTTCATAACAACTTTAAATAAAACTAACCTTAGTAACCGAAGAACAGTTACGTCACACAATTACGCTAAAAAGCTATTTCATTTTAATTAATTTGACCGAAAAAAAAAAAAGAAAAGGTATCTAAGATAAACTGAAAATTATATATTTTTTATTATTTACTTCTGCATTTATAACTGAAAATATTTTTTATCTATTTTTAATAAAAAAGCAAAAGAAAAATTAAAAGATAAAAATAATTTTTGGGTGCCCATGCTACAGCAGTATGGTACTAAAGCAGGTCTGGGTTCATCCCTGAACACCCAATATAAATAAATAAATAACAGGCTTGGTATGGAAGCGGGTATGATTGCACTCTATATCTGACCACGCATATAAAATTTAGTTGCAACAACATGGCTGCGGCTTTTTTTTTTGGTTGTCTTTCTTTATTGTGATTGCCATTTTCTTACTCCCAATTCCATTCATTCATTCATTCATTCATTATACATACATACATACATACATACATACATACATACATACATACATACATACATATATATATATACACACACACACACACACACACACACACACACGCACATATATATATACTAGTGATGTGCCGGGTACCCGGTTCGGACCCGGAGACCCGGTAATTCGGCAGTTTTACCGGGTACCCGGTATCGGCCATTTTGTTGCAGTACCCGGCACCGGGTATCTTCAAATTGATTTTTTCTTTAGTTAAACTTTAACCATTAAACTTCTTGATATAAGTCTAAGAGTGTTACGTAGTCGATAACCACAAAGTTCTATTAACTTAAAACAATCTCACTTAAAATAATTTTTAATACACTTTTGCAAAAAAAATTTATACGGATACAAAAACTGTAACGCTAAATGAAATAATTCGAGAATACGAATAAAAAGAATGGGAAACAAAGTTTTAGAATAGCTTCTTTTTATTCTGTTAGAACACAAGATAATTTTTAGCAATTTAGTTTTGAATGAAACGCTTATAATGCTTTCGAACGCTGATAGACTTTTCATTCGTATCAAGCAAAAATCATAAAAGTAGAGATATAAGGTAAATATTATACACATTTTTTATATTTTAATTTCGAGCGTATTATTAAAAAAAATTATCGTTTCATATAAAATAAACGAAAACTTTGATATCAAAACTAGTTTCATTATCTTTATAGAAATTTTATTTGAAAGAAAAGTTATGGCAAAAAAAAGTATAGCGTGGAAGTTCTTTGATATAAGCACGACTCCTCATATGAGTAAGTGCAAACTATGTGATAGTTTAATTACGAGAGGAGGAAAATCTTTCAAGTCTTATGGAACTACAGCAATGGTAAAACATTTGCGTTTAAAGCATTCCAAAGAGTTTGAACTTGCGGAAGAAAAAAAAAAGGTTCAATCGTTGCCGTCTATTTCTGAAGCCTCAGTTGCTTCTACCACCAATACAGTACAAAGTAACATTATTCAGGCTTTACAAAAAAAAAAACAGTGGAATATTGATGACCACAGATCTATTCGAATCCATAAAATAATAGGAAAACTTATCACATTGGATATTCAGCCACTTTCTATTGTTGAAGATACGGGGTTTAATGAACTGATTAAAGATGCTTACCCCAATTACAAATTACCATGTAGAACATATTTCAGCCAAAACCTAATCCCTAGCATGTATGATGAACTTTTTAAAGATATAAAAATAAAAATCTCCGCGGCAAACTATTTGTCTCTGACGACAGATATTTGGACAGCGGATACTGCAAAAATCGCATTTTTAAGCATTACTGGACATTGGATAGATCTAACTAAATTTTCCCAAGAAACTGCTGTTCTTCGAGTAATTCATTTTCCGGAAAAGCACACAGGTGTTCATATAAAAGAGTATTTACAAAAAGGTTTAGAAACTTTTGAAATCCCGTTAAGCAAAATTCATCTTATTGTTACCGATAATGCAAGCAATATGAAGGCTGCAGTAAAAAACAGTGGAATGTCATCAATTCCATGCTTTATCCATACTTTGCAGCTATGTATTCATGACTCTATATTTAGCCAAGAAATCATCAAGGAAATTTTAACTTTATGCAGAGGAATAACGACACATTTTAATCATTCACCAATAGCATGTGCAAAATTAAAATCAATTCAGCAGCAGTTAAGTACTGTACCTCACAAAATGAAACAAGATGTTCCAACTCGCTGGAACAGTTCATTTGAAATGCTACAAAGAACGTTTGAACAAAAAGTTCCTTTGGCCACCTATGCAGCAGAATATGATGAAATTAAACTTCCTACTAATTATCAATGGGGAATAGTCGAAAAACTTGTTCACATTCTTGCTCCATTTGAAAACTTAACAAAAAAATGTGGTAGGAGGGATGAAACTTGCGCACAAATTATACCATCTGTTCTTGCATTAAAAGTTTTATTACAAAAAGCTTCATCAAGTGATATATACGCTGGGATTATGACGATGATTGATGAACTAATAAAATCTGTTACTAAAAGACTTGATAAATTTTTGCTTAATAAAATGTTATGTGTATCAACATTTTTGGATCCACGATATAAATTACTTTATCAACATGCAGATGAAAATGTTATTAAGGAGTGGGTTGAAGAAGCATGGAAAGAAATGCAAGGAGCGCAAGATGTTGTTGACTCTGACTCCGACAATGCTCCAATAGTAAAAGCTCCAGCATCTAATGGATTCATTAGCATTGATGATTGTTTTAAAGATGTAGCTTCTATGAGAACCGGAAGAAAACAAAGTGAAAGACGTTCCGAGGCAGAAAGAGAATTAGTATTTATTGAAGTTGTTACCACTGACATAATTAAAAAGCAAATAATATTAAAGTCTGCAATTTCTCAAGAAATAGACAACTACTTATCTCTGCCTCTTTTAGAAAATAAAAGTTCTCCGTTTTTGTGGTGGAGTAAATGTGGAATGCAATTTGAAAAACTAAAAAAGATGGCATTAAAATATCTTACAGCACCTCCGTCATCAATAGCAAGTGAAAGGTTATTTAGTGCTGGTGGGGACATATACGAAGCAACAAGAAGCAGACTAAAAGCAGATAACGGAGAATACCTAATGTTTGTGCATTACAATCTAAAGTTAATAAAACAATTAAAATAAGATACAGCAAATAAGTGTTGTTTAAGTTCTTTTTATTTGTTTTATTTTATTCACTGTACAGTCGAGAAGGTCTACCTTTTTTTGCAATTCTTTATATTTCTTAATCTTTTGCTTTCCATAATATAACTTTCAATGGCGGAACTTCAAATTTTGCCCCTTTCCCCACAAAATATTATTTAGGCCCGCTCCACCAGGAAAGAAAAATAATTTTAAACTAAATATAGTTGTTAAAAAACTGTTGCACAACTTTTTTAAATAGTTAGGCCCTGCAACTCAGGCCCCTTACCCTGCATTGCGGGGTTTTGCTAAATAGTACGTCGGCCACATAACTCTTTGTTAGTTAGCGTAAAAAGCGTATTTTGTGTGAATAGTTCAGCCCTAGAGATTTCACAAATTTTTATTCCAACTTTTAAAAAATGGACTCGACCCAGTTTTTTCAGCCGGGTACCCGGAATCGGAGACTCGGCATAAACTGGTTTCGGCACATCTCTAATATATACTGGTTCAATTTCAGTTACCTGTTCTCTAAGCAATAAAAAGTAAACAAAAAATAAATGTTTACAAGAAAAATTTGAAATTATTTAAAAATAAATTCAAAAATATTTTTTTATGTTTACAAGAAAAATTTGAAATTCTAGACTAAAAATATACTAATTTTAAAGAACTCCTTTATAATTAATTTTTTAATTTTAGTTGATGCAACTTCTTGGTTGAAAATAACTACAATTATTACATAATTAATTATAACAATTCCTAACTTTCTGTAAAATATTTTTTCTATAATTTGTATATTTTGATGTTTAGACATTCTTCCTGATGAAGCTACTGATGTAGAAACAAATTATTGAAAACAAAAATTAGATGTATTTTCACTAATTTTTTTTTTTAAACATCGCTTCCAACAAGGCTGCAAGCAACCACTAATTAGTGTTGGAAGTTACTGGAAGAGAAAAGAATTTATTATTGCTCTGTTCTTTAAGAACATTAAGTACTCTATTTGTAGAATACGCTAACATAATTTATACACACACAAACACACACACACACATATACATATACGTACATATATATATATATATATATATATATATATATATATATATATATATATATATATATATATATATATATATATATACACGCATAAACATGTAGCATAAAAAAGCTTTAATGAGGCATAAACTTATTACTACAATTATATATCAATGTAGAATTACTAAAAAATACAAACTTTAACAGTGACAAAATTTTTCAGCGATTTTGACATCTTGCAACCCTCAATTGTCAAATGACCAGCATGCAAAAAATAATTAATCCATTGAGTACAGTTATAATGAGCCTTTAAAACAACAAAACAAATTTAATTATTAAAATATAGTTAAAATAATACCAAAAATAAATACAATCAAATCTTTCCCACCTCTGCTTGAGCAATTTCATTGTCATGATGTGGAAACTTCAAATCTACACCTCCTGTGTGAATATCAATAGAGTTACCTAATATATCACTAGCCATTGCAGAGCATTCAATATGCCAACCAGGTCGACCCTAAACAAGGTATCTTAAATTGAAACTTTTAGGCATAATAAAAGTAATAAACTGTTGAATTTTTATTACTCACATTTCCCCATGGTGAAGGCCAGTATGGTTCACCAACCTTACTTGCTTTCCAAAGTGCAAAGTCTCTGTCAGATTTTTTGGCGCCTGGGTTAAGCTGACTTAAATCACCTGATTATATTTAAATGAAAAATGTGAAAATATACAAAAAAATATTTAAAAAAAAAGGTTTAACTATTTTGCTTAAAAATTGAAAGAATTTTACTACATTAAATAAAACTTAATTCTAAAAAATTTATAGTATATTACATAGAATTATTATTTATTATTAGTACTAGTGTCATTCATACTTCTAAATTATACATACAAATAATAAAACATGATATATTAGTTAAGCCAAATTTTTCTTTTACGATACTAAACACATAGACAGACCTCTCAACATAAAAGATCATTGAAAATATTTAGAAAATACAATGACCATGTTTAAAGTCAGTTGAAAGTAACTTGATAATACTATTAAGTATTTATCCAACAAAAAATTATACAAAAATTTTTTTTTAAAAAACAACAGTTAAAAGTAACAATAAGTAAAATCAGTATGACTCTCCTTATAGCTGAGAAAAAAATTCAGATAAAAATTTCATTAAAGGTAAATAAGGGCTAGTAATAATATATATATATAAAAAAAAAAAATGCAAGGTAATGTTAAAACTTTTTGGTCTGAAAAGTAGTTCCTTCCTTGTCAGGAGAACATTTTTATTTGTCTATATTCATCTTGTGTCGAGCTCAACTTCAAGTAAATTATTAAGACCAATTTTTTCTTGGCATCACAGTTTGTTTTCCAAAATTTTATTACTTATTAAAACAGAATAAAATTTAATTAACATTAAATCAAACTTTAAAATACGTGATTTTAAATCTTTTACAAACTTATTTTACAACTTAGAAAAAATAATAGAAATAAACTCCATTTATAAATTTTAAAAAAATAAAATATTGTGTGCAAAATGTTAAATCAAATCATTGTTAACTTTAACTCAAAGAAATGCAATTAAATACCTTCTCCCTCTGCTAAAGCTGCTAAGTCACCAACAGCTTCTGGGACTAGTTTTGCATATTTATGGTTTTCACTGCTCCCAAACTTAATAGTGTCAAAGTAGACAGATCCATTGCACACATACCTTAAATCAATTATAGTATCATATTTAATGTATACATATATATATATATATATATATATATATATATATATATATATATATATATATATATATATATATATATATAAATATAAATATATATATATATATATATATATATATATATATATATATATATATATATATATATATATACACTTACTAAAGCGTGTTTTGATAAGCATTTGCTCATTGTTTCTGCTTACCTTAAGCTATACCGTTTTTTTTCGAAAAAGAAGAAAAAACGAAGAATAATAAATAAAACGATTGCTTCCCCATCCCAAACCCTCAGTCGATGTAGCAGCACTCCACTGCGAGTCAGGCTATTTGTCAGTCGATGTATGTACTGAAGCCCCGAGCAGCAGGCTATTTCAGTATGACATCAGATTGCTTACCTTAGTGCGCAATACTATTTGTGTATATATATATATATATATATATATATATATATATATATATATATATATATATATATATATATATATATATATATATATATATATATATATATATATATATATATATATATATATATATATATATATATATGTATATATATATATATACACACACACACACACAAACACACCCTTAAAATACTTTTAAAATACAGAATTTAAACCAGACAGATTTTCAGAAAAATAAATTAGTACTTAAAGCAAGTGAAAACAATACATGTGCTTTTTCTTAAAGTAGATGAGTAACTGCATACAAATATTTTTCCATACATAGCCTTGCATAAAACGCCATTAATGACATACTAAAATAGCCATCTGCAAGAGCGTCAGTTAATATATTAACTGAGGTTTGGGTCTGAGCAGGTACTATATAAATAGAATAAGCTTTTATTAATGCAAAAAAATTTTGCTGTTAGGGGATAAAGCGTTTACACGAAATAAATGTGAAAGTATGCCAATTTTTTTCAGTGGTTAAATTAAAATCTTTTTAATTATTTTGTATTTTGTTTACAACATGTTGTGGTTTCAAAAAAATGTATTTGTTTTTTGATTTAACTTAAAATTAATTTTAAAAATGACAAAAGAAAAAGACATAGGAGAAAAAAATTATGCATAAATACTTGGAAAATCCCAATAGTAGCTAGAATTCGATAGCAAAAGCGTTGCAAATACATCCGTACACCGTTAGTCGTGTAATCCAAAGTTTTTCTCAAACAAAATCGATCAAAAGTAAATCCAGTGATGAAAGAAAGAAGGGTTTTAAAAATAAAAAACTAGTTAGAAAACTGGTTAACAGTTTTAAGACTAACCCAAGCCTTTCACTAAGGGAGCACACAAACATTTATGGACTTTCTCATAGTTTTGTTGTAAAGGTTCAAAATAAACATGGTTTTTATTCTTTCAAAGCACAAAAAGTGCCCAACCGATCTGAAACTCAACAAAAAAGTACAAAAATCCGCTGCAGAAAGTTATATGACAATTTTATTTCTAAAAATTTCTGTATTATTGAAGACGATGAAACTTATATCAAGTTACATTTATAAAGTTTCTGGGCACCATGAAACATTATAAATGTAGAGGCATCTTAAGAGTTGTGACAACCATTTTCATATGGTGTAACAGTTACTACTAGAGCTATTCTTTGACAAAAAAAAAAAACTATAGCATTTGATATCATTAGGTTGGTGAGGGGTTGATGACAAAGTAATTTATTAGTTTTTAAAGTTGATAAGTTTTTGAATCTTTTTCAAAGTGTCTATCAGTAAATCGTATTTTGTAAACTACAATCCATAGGCTCTTTGCTTCATTAAACAAATTCATTAAAAAAACAAGTTGATATTAAAAATAAAGCTATTGTTTTCTATTAGCAATTATGTGTAACTTGATAAAGCATTTGTGGGGAGCCTTAAAACTGTAGAATACTACTCCATTGTTTCATAAACAAATAGAAACCATTTCTTTTAACATTTACAGTCAATTTTTCAGAGACTAATGTAAATATAATACTAAAAGATTCAATTTCAATACAAAACTATTATTTATTGACACTTAAGAATGACATTTAAAACAATATATTATCTAGATTTCTGAAATATAATTTGGACTATTATTTTGGACGCATTATTCGAGTTACAATTATTAATTTGTTTGTCTTTTAAGTTAAAATCTGCCTTAACTAAATCAGAATGTAAATTAGACCATTTAAAATAAAACTAACAACAAATGGTCTAATTAACATTCTGATTTAGTTAAACTTCAAGTTTACATTATTGGCGGAAGTCCAATAATGTAAACTTTCAGGAAGCTGAAAAAAACTGCATTTTCCCCCCATTGTCATTTTTGTTAATTGTTCAATAATATTTTTTTGAAGGTGAAAAACATAATCCTCTTCAAAAGTTTCCTGAAAGTTTACATAGTTGGACTTCTGCCCTTTTAACATTCACCGATTCATATACATTATGTATATATTTTAAATGTATATAATGCTTTAGTGGTTTTTTTTCAGTTTATTAAAAATCTTATAATACTAACCCAAAACCATTTTCAATAATACGTTCAATATATGCAACAATCTCTGGAATGTACTGACTTACTCGAGTAATTATGTCTGCAGGTCGAATCTTGAAAAAAAAAAAAAAAAAACATAATAATAATGGAACTGACAAAATTACACTGTAAGCATTTTAACAAGTTTATAAATTTTATTAAGTTAGGGAAATATAATTTTTCACAAGCAAAAAGTTTTTTGTTCATAAGCTATTGAGCTAATAGTTTTACTAACATTTAGAGATTTCATATCGTCATTGTATTCTTTTTCCCAATACTGAGTTAACTCACTGAATATACGATGCTCAGTTATGGTACTGCCAAACTAAAAAATTTAGTTAAAGAAAAAAATAAATAAAAGATGAACATACATCATACATTCAAATCTTTTTTTAAGCCTTAAAACATTTAAAACTGTTAATACCTGTGCATCAAGCCACTCAGATAGTGGGTCATGTGATTTTAATAACAAATCCTAACAAACAAAGTCTAAATTAATGATTTTATTAAATTATTGATCTAAAGTATTGATGTGAAAAAAATTAAACAATATATAGATATATCTACTCCTTTATATATAAGGCCATGCAAAGACTAAAAAACTAAATTTAAATGTTATTTTGATGCAACAAAGTTAATATTCAGATATAAAATATACTTTATGGTGGCAACATTTTTTTTGCTCATATTTATAATCCTATTTTTCAACCCATTTAAAATATTAAAAAATGAGATTGTGTTTTTTAGACATTTGCTTATTTATTTACAGCAGATTAAAAAAATAATATTATAGTATGTTATTTTTAATATTATGTTTTCTTTCAAATATATGAGCAAACAATAAACCACAACACAGATTAAAAAAGTTATCTAGTAGTTTTTATAAGCTTAAAATTAAATATTCAACTTCAAAGTTGTAAAAAAAAAATTTTTAACTTGCGAACTTGTATTAAATGTTGTCTGTCATTAATGATTGTTAAAACTGTTGATAAATCAATCATTATATCAAAACAAAACAATAAATAAGATTTTAAAAGTTAATGTCCTATTGTTTAGCTAAATACTAGTTAATTTTTTTAGAACTTTTAATTTTATTTGTTTACTGACTATTTGTTTTTTAAATTAACAGAAATAAATATTTCATTTTTTAAACTATATGGTTAAAATTTAAGACAATGAGAACTTATAACATAAAAATTATAGGCTTATAACTGAGTAACTTGATCTAAAATACTCACATGTTTACAAAATAATATTTTTTTATAAAGATATATATTTTTATTGATTTTTATTATTATTGATTTTAGTTTCATTTATTAAAATCGTATTAATACTCTACTGCATAATGATGCTGATTAGCATCATTATTTCTATGCTTTCCATAAGTCCCATAATCAACATCACTAGTTGTTTCTCTAGGATAGTAAACACAATAAAACAGTTAATTTTATTATCTTTTCTCTAGGATAGTAAACACCATAAAGCATTTTATTATCTTTTCAAATATCTATGTTTATGTTCCACTTTTAAACATTCAAGAAAATTGTGTCAAAATAAACAACTTAGTATTTTTTTTATTTAAATTTATTTTTAGTTGATAATTATTTTATTTGTTTTTATGATAAAATTTATTTCAAAGTGGTAGAATAAAGGGCTCATTTATGATTGAAATTTGAATATGTGATGCCAAATGGCATTACCATGCAACTCATGGGTGTTTTTTTTCTACTTCATGGGTTCTAATTGTTGTACCCTTACAGTGTTATTTTCATTTTATTAGAAATAATGACCAGATATTTTTATGCTAATATTAGGAATATGTGCGTTATACGTTAATACGTAAGCGTTGTAAAATTGTAATTCGTATTTGTATGAAAATATTTAATTATGTGAAAATAACTTATAAAAAATATTTACAAGAATAAATTTAATAAATGCAATAATTTTTTATATTTTGATTCAGCAGATTGCTACCCTACCATGAATGTTCAATCATTTTATAGGAAAAAAAAAACTTTAAAAAAATTATTGCAAGAATAATTCCTATTGAAAGTAATGACAGATGTCTGATGACAAAAAGCATGATAAAGACTATAATCCTCCTGTAAGTGATGATAAAAGTACAGAAGAATGTAGTGACATTGAGGACACACTTCTATCAAAAACCAGAAAAAAAAGTCAGCATATCTTTAACTAGCACACAAACAAAAGCCAAAGTGAAATGAAAACTCCAGTGGAAAACTACAAAAGATGTAACAAGACAGAAAATTACCATTTTCAGGAGATGAGAATCAAGGTGCTCATATCTTAGGGTTAAAAACTCCAATTAAATTTTTGAGTTGTTATTTCTAGTTACATTAAAGCAGCATATTGTTGAGCAGAGTAATTTTTATGCAGTTCAAACTCATCCTAAAAATCACTGCAGCTAACAGCAGCAGAATTAGAAATGTTTCTAGGCATAGCCATGTGGATAACTTTGATAGTACTACCAAGTACAAGAAATACTGGAATGCCAAATTTAAAGTTGAAAATGTGTCATAAATTATGAGAGTCAACAGGTGGGAAGAAATCAAATGTTTTATCCGCTTCAACGACAATAAAACCTAAGAGCCAGATGGCAATCTGCTTCAAAAAATTAGACAACACTTGACAGAGATACCCAATTGTCTGAAAACAATTCCTAAGGAAGAATCTTTGTGTGTAGATAAGTAAATAGTTCCTTTTAAAGGTGATAGTCACTTAAAACAGTACAATAAAAACAAACCACACAAATAAGAATACAAGATTTGGGTACTTTCTGGCAAATCTAGTTTTGCATATGACATGAAAGTTTTTACTGGTAAAGAAAACCTAGTCCTTTCCAGTGAAAGTGATTGTGGACCAAGTTTCAATGTCATTGTGCACTTGGTCCGGACTATTCCAGCTGTTGGACACAAACTGTATTTTGATAATTATTTTACAAGCATTGATTTAATGGTTTACTTAAAAAATTTAAATATTTTAAAACGTAGGAACTGTGAGGGTAAACAGATTGCAAGGTCTTTCAGCAAAAACCGAAAAGGATCTGAAGAAAACTGGCTGTGGATCCATGGTTGAGTACTTAGCTGATGTTGATGGAGTCGCCCTCATATTTATACAATGGTATGGCAATAAAATAGACAATCCACTTTCGACCTACCCGGATACAGAGTCAAAAATAAAAGTGAAGCAATGGTTTTTGGCAGAGAAAACTAGAAAGGACATTGATTGCCCACAGATAAATTCCACTTATAACTAGAAAAATGGGTGGTTATGAATTGTTTGATAGGACTTTATTGTATCACCATTTGATCAAAGAAATGATATCACAGGTTTTTTCATTATCTGCACATGGTTGTAGTGAATGCATAGCTTCAATACAGGCAAGCTGGTTCACAATAAAACAGTCTTTTAAAAATACTCAGATTGGCAAAATTTAAAGCTAAAATGGCAGAAGGTAATTAATAAGTATGAATGAAACTTTTTTATTAGCTGATATTATTAGATGCTTTTATTAGCTTTTATTAACTATTTTTTTCTTCATACCTTAAGCTTTTTCTTTTTTCATTCATAGTTTTCTTATTTCCCATTTATACATGTTTTACTTCTTTTAATTCTATTATAGGTTTAAGACTTCACTATTGTCTACCTGGTTGTAATGGGCAATTACATGTTCATTGTGAAAAATGCCTAATAGGTTTATGTTTCACAAAGGACAAAAACTATTTCAAGTGTTTTTATATGGAGTAACAATTATTTAAAAATGAAATTTTCAAACAATCATAAATGACATTTTTATCCTTTGAATTTCAATGATTTCATATATTTTGAGGAAATAAAATTACAAAAGTGTGTTTGATTGGTTATGTAATGCATGCATATGCCAATTGGCATCTGATATATTTTGGTCATTTTCTACCTATGTTGATAAAAAAACTTTTATAATAATACTTTTCTTTTCTTTTGTTTTTTTAACCAATGAAAAAATTTTTACTTTTAATAAAATAACATTTTTTTAAATTGTGCAATAGAGGGTTAAAACAACTGACTAGTTTTTCTGTTGCTGAATATTTCAATTAAAAATAATTTTTCTTTTTATCTGAACTTGTTCCATTTGTAAACAATGAATATATTTTATGTAATTTTTATAACTAATATTAGTTTAAATAAAATTTTTAGTTATTGTATTATTAGTAGTAATCATTAGTGGTTTTTAAAATATTACCTACTTTATTTATCTGTTTAAAAAATATCTTTAGACTTGATTAAATATTAATAAAGAAAAAATTTTGGAGTAACAAACAGAGCAGCCGTACACAATATATATATATCAGGCTTTCCCAGGAAAGACGTGCGGTCGCACGCCTTGTTTGTCCACGCATAGAATAAATTTTTCAGAAAACGTGACCGCGGCATTATTTCGTAAGAAAGCGGAAATTATCCACAGAAAATAAAAAATAATATTAAAAAATGAAACGAAGTCTAAACAAAGTATAAAATTGAAATTGGATGTAAGAAAAATATTTTGCTAATAAAAAAAAATTAAAAAAAAAAAAAATTCATGTAACAAAAAAAAAAGTCTTGAACAGTTTTTCCAAAATTTTTATTTTATTAGGGTTGCTATTTTTAGCTACGAAATTTGATACAAGTCAAGGCAAAGACGACGATAAGTCATAAAGTTTTCACGAAAATAAAAAGACTTGATACGTAATTTATTCACGAACTTTATCAGACAATGTATTAAAAAACTGATTCATTATTTACGCTAGACAAATTTGGTTAAACTTTTTCATTTAATTTAGTTTTTACGAAGGTTTATGCAAAGGCGATGACTTTATTCCCCAGTACTTAGAAAAGAAAATAAATTGCTGTTTCAATTATTAAATATATTATTTGAGATTTTAAACATAACAAAATTTTAATGTGAAAAAAGTTCTTTCTCGACTTATTCAAAACTGATTATACTGAGTCAATGCTCGCCTTTTATTATGTTGAAATTATTCAATTGCATAATTTTGTAATTACAAAAGAAGTTAAAAAAATAATTGCATTGCTTCTGTTGTCATTGTTAGGAAAACAGTTCCTTCGGGACATTATTATATATTAACACTCGTTCACAATGTCAATTAATGATTGCAAAATAAGCAACTCAATTGTTTGACAATAAAATTTTCTTTCATTTAAAAAAAAAAACAAACATATTTTACTAATAAATAGCAATCGATTTCGAGTTTTCTTGCTTATCAATATATTTAAACATTAAAATCAATACATTTTAACATTTAAATGTATTTACGAAACATTTAAAAATTGTTTATAGTTCTAGCGTGAATTTTAAAGTATTACTGACTGATAAAAGTCATAAACAAATTTTACATTAAAAGGTCCTTTTATTTTCTTTAAACATTAATCTTTTTCTTTTTGATTTGATTTTTCTTATTGATTTGATTTTTCATAGCTTAAATAACTACCACCCTAAAAAAATTAAAATATAAAATATAGGTAAATTTTTTTTTTAATAATTTACATTAATTTTTTAATTTTAAAGCACAAACAGATTTCTGTTATTTACTTTAAGATTGCTTGCATTTTTGCGGTATTTTCGTTTAGCTTTGTTTTGGCGCGAATTCTTGAAACGCATAATAATAAAACGTGGTCAAACAAGGCGTGCAACCGCACGCCTTTCCTGGGAAAGCCTGATATATATATATATATATATATATATATATATATATATATATATATATATATATATATATATATATATATATATATATATATATATATATATATATATATATATATATATATATATATATATATGCAAGAGCGGTGAAAAGCTTCTAAAACGAACATAGGGAGCTATGCGAGCTGCTTCTCTAAATTCTTTAGATGAGCATTGTTTTTATTGCTTATAAAAAAAGTTTTATATTTTCTTATTGTAATAGAATGCAGGGATTTTAAGAATTGTTAAAGATAATTATTAAAATGACTTCGTTTTTTATATTTTAGTTACAATCATAATTAAACTTTTGAGAGAAAAAAATTTACTTTTGCGAGAGCCGTAAATTGCTCCTATAAACCATTTTAGGGGAGTGTGGGCAGGAAGCCAGAACTAAGCTCTCGCTTCTCGTCAAGGCCTATATATATATATATATATATATATATATATATATATATATATATATATATATATATATATATATATATATATATATATATATATATATATATCTATATATATATATATATATATATATATATATATCTATATATATATATATATATATATATATATATATATATATATATATATATATATATATATATATATATATATATATATATATATATACAGAAACAAATTTTGTAAGCCAATAAGTGAGATGCATAAATGTTTTTGTTTTCAATAATATTTAATCATAATCTCAAATTTGTAAGAAATGACTTAAGTAGTGTTCAAATTAAGGTGACAACTTTTAAGGTATATATATATACAACTAATGAAAAAAAATAATAATAAAGATATAAAGTTTTAGTAATTACTAACAACAACAAATTTGAAAATTGAACTGGAAAAAAACTTTTTTACCTCCTTGAGGTGGTCTATATCTGCTATTGATGCTCCAGAAGAAATTGCTTTTTTAAATTGATCTTCACAACTGACCACTGACTCCTAAAATATCATTAACAATAAAATTTTCAACAGAAACACTTATTTTATTATCATTAGTTGGTTTAAATTTGTTTGACTAGATCCAATAAGAACCAATAAAGGCTTTATAAAGAATTTCCAAAACAAAAATAAAGTTTGAAACTATGTTAATCACTTTGGCTGACATATGCAATATTTAAGTCATATATACTTTTGTTAGTATGCAGTAAAAACAATTTTTTTTTCTTTCTACATCATCATAATGAGAATTTAAAGATTTTTTAAAAACCTCAAAATCACTTTATCTTTTTTCTTAAATTAACAAAAAAATAATAAAAAACAATTAATTTAAAAAATATATAAATGTCTTTTTCTTTTTTAAATAAGTAAACAAATAAGTATAAAATATTATAATATAATAAACAAATAAATATAATTATAACAAATTATCATTAGAATATAAAAAAATATTTTATGTTCTGAAAAGAAGAGTATAAAAATGTTTTGTTATGATTTATTAATTATTAAAATATTATTGCAAAAATTTACATTTTATTTAAGTTATATATACTTAATATTTAAATGAGACCATGTATATTATATATATATATATATATATATATATATATATATATATATATATATATATATACATATATAAATATATATATATATATATATATATATATATATATATATATATATATATATATATATATATATATATATATATGTATATATATATATATATATATATACAGGGTGTATACTTAATTTCTGACCCCCCACATGTTACAAACACAAGATTTTGAGTTGCTCTCTTAAATACTATAAAAAAATACTATAGTATGTATTTTGGTGTAACTATACTTTCTGCACGAAAAACACTCACTTCTGATAGGATATGACCTCAGAAAATGTTTATGGGAGCCATTTTGTCAACATACATAAAAATTATATTTTCATTCTCCTTGTCTTCCATGGCCTTTGGCATTATGACTATAGTTTTAGCTGGCTTGGCAACTCACCCGACTTGAATATCATCGAACATATTTGGTCAAGACTCCAGGACAGTGTTTTACACAATCCTTGACCTCGTAATCATGAACAGTTGATCAGACGTGTTGAACAGGAGTGGGCTGCCATTACGCAAGAAGAGTGTTTTCGCCTAGTAGAAAGCCTGCAAAGGAGAATTACCCAATGCATAGAAAGAAATGGACAAAATACTGATTACTGACTATTAACATATATTCTTTGTCTTATTAAATTGATATGACAGTAATAAAATGGTATGTGTTGAAATACCATATTCTTAAACCGAGATGTAGGGGGTCAGAAATTAAGTATACACCCTGTATATCTTATACTGCTGATTTAGGTGGAAGGTGTGATGTCATACTGAAATAGCCTGCTGCCGGGGGCTTCAGTACATACATTGAGTGACAAATAGCCTGACTCGCATTGGAGTGCTGCTACATTAGGGCAGGTCGATTTTGTAATCAGAGGTTTGGTAATAAAGAGATTTTAAATATTGATGTATTTAATTAAAAAAATTTTTGCTACGACATCTTTACCACCAACATTTTCATACAAATTAAAGATTGCCACGCTTACGCAAAGCAAACAAATCTTATAATTGTGTGGAAAAAAGAAAATTTTGGAGGACGAAAAATAATGCTTTCAAACAAGCGTAAAACACGAAATTGCACAAAAAGCAAATTTGGTGGAAGTCCTAACCCTCTTGCAAATACAGAACCACCCACAAACAGATTATTCAAGATTTTTATTTTCTTAACAATACTTATCCAAGTTATTGCATTAGCGTAATTGTAAAACTTATAGCTGAAAAAATAATCATGATATGGAAAAAAGTTAACACTCGACTACCATTAATGTCCACTTATTGTGTAGAAAAAAAAGTCAGAGTACCTCTAAACAAAGTAAATACAAAGTATTAACAGAAAAAAACATTTCTAAAAAATTGGATAGGCTTTTTGATATCAGTTCCTGCACATGTGATCTTAAAGTTTTTCTTTGTGATGATAAAAATATTGTAGTCAAGATAATTGTCCTGATACTCATATTTTATGCACATGTAGTCCAGATAAAAAAGTACTATCTTATTTTTTAATAATAAATAAATAAAAAAGTATTTTTAAATAAAATTAACATAAGTATATTACTAGTATGATAAAGTTTAATACTATAAATTTCATATGCAGTTGTTCAATATTATCAAATAATATTTAGATTCCTGTCAAATAAAGGTTACATTTAAAAAGGATCATTTCAAGGCTCAGTAGATTGTGAATGGTCTGGAAAAGAATCTTTAAAGAAACATAACCATTTTGCTATTTTTAAAATTCACCAAACCATTTTGCTGGACAAATAGATAAAATGGCAAATATCAATAATGAGCTTAATTTAGTTTTTAATTTTGGTGTTATTAAGTCTCCAATTATTATTTTAGAAAAATAAATTTTAGTATTTAAGTAGTGACCAGAGGCTTTTATATGAATATTGCATTGGAATTGCCACTGGAAATATGAGTGTTAAATATTCAAGTTGGAAAATTAGTCCCCTTAATCATTCTTGTTGGTTAACATTGGCAATACGGTTGATGTCTTTATATGTCCGAGTACTAGTTCCTGATTCTGAACTAATTATTTTGGTAACTTATGTTGTCCAAGTTTATGTTCCTACATGGCTCCTCCATAAAAAGAGCATTAAGTTACACGAAGCTCCATCAATTATACATTTTATGATTAACCAAATCAAGCTCCAAGGAAAAGAAATTCAAGATGTTTGCTTAGCAAACTTAAGGTTCAATTCCTTTTGCCTACTTCCTGAGAATATTTTGTACTCAATGTTAAAGTCAGAAAAAATTTATATAAGATCAATAGCAATGCAGAGATTACTTGATATTAGAAATCATAAAAAAGATGGCCAAGCTATAAACAGAATCAATAAAATTCCAGAAGTTAACATTGATGCTCATATATGGTATGAGTTCATAAATATTTTTGATGAAGACAGATGAACCAGCAACAACTCAAGATTTTACTAATGAAGAGATTGCAGAAAAGTTGTTGTCTAGAGATTAAATTGACCTTCCAGATCTTCCTTCATATTCACAGAGTGTTGAGAGATTTGTACAACTTGTTTCCATGGCTTCTCATAATGTTTTTGGAAAGGAGGCACGTCATAAGCATATTTTAGCAAAAATTCTATGCAGAAAGCATAGAGAGAGTTTTATGTCTAAATGTTATTATGGAGAGAGTATGGTGAGTTATTATGGTTATTATGATGATATTTTTTTATAATTTAAAAACTAATTTATTGCTACTTGTATATGTAAAAATAAAATTTAACAAAAATATATAATATTTTTCGAGTTAGTCATTTTCTTGTGTGGTTGAACATTGTTAAAATAATTTCTAAATAAATAAAAAGATCTTTTTTTATAGCATTTCTTTTTTTATGAAATCTTTTATATAATTTCAACTTTTGACAGTTATTTCAAAGGTTTTTAATAATCATTATTAAAATTTAACTTATTGGGTAAATTTAACTTATCTGAAATAATTAGGATAGTCTATTTTACAAATATTCGATTATATAACCCAGGCGTCGACAACCTATTTTATGTAGTGAGGTTTTTCTTAAAATAATTAAAATACATCTTCCTTAAATAATTTTAAATAAAGAGCCGCAGGATTACAGTTTAAGTATGTTTGAAATATAGTTTTAAATCAAAATATTATGTAATTTGGATAGACTGGAGAGCCACCTATTATTATATAAATAATAATAATAAATACTCGCGATCCACTTGTTGCTGATCCCTGATATAAGAAATTATCTACATTTGAAATTAGCGCTTTTTTAAAAAATCCGGACCAGAATTTACAAAAGCAATTTGTTAAAGTATTAATATCTAACATAGACAAAATTTTTTTTTTTTTTAGATTTAGAGTACTTTATTTTGCTTTTCTTCAATTCTAATTAACTTTCAGTCTTTTTGCTTTTTATTTATTTTTTTATATGTAAACTAGTTGGGTCCTGAATTTATAATACAACGCTGCAGTAATGTTACGCAGAAAGCCTTAGGACCCAAAGCTAAAATCACTCATGAACAAACTATTTTAACTTCATAAAATTTTTCAGGATGTGTTTTTGGGCTGTTTAAAAAATATCTCCATAATGCCAAACACTTAAATCCAAAAAAAGTTGTAATTTGACCTGCCTTACTGCTACATAGCCTAAGGGTTTTAGGATGGGTCAGCAACCTTTTCATTCATTATTCTTTGTTTTCCCCCTTCATTTTCTAAAAAACCGATTTAGATTTAATTGATTTAGATGAGCAAAAAAAGGGAGCAAGTACGCATACGCCATAGTAGATAAACACTTTCAGTTAGGCAGTTAGGTCAACATTGCTGAATGCTGACCCTAATTTCAAGGGTTGATATATATATATAATCAAAAATTAAATCAAAAATGAAAATGACTATCCAGAAATGTGAAACACTATAATATAATTTAGTAAATTTATAAGTTACAGCATTAAAGTCTTCAACTTTTTTCAAAATTTAACTAGTGAAGGTCCTAACATTTAGTCCTAACAATCATTTGGTGCATGTAATTAGCACATATTATTTTTTTTTTTTTTTTTTTTTTTATTTTAATTCACCTCCTCAAGGCCGAGAAGGCCACTACAGACGAGGAGGCTACTTAATTATGGTTATAACCCTCTCTCAACTCTATAACTCCGAAACACAAACCTTGACGAGCAAGGCCGCTGCGCGGAGAAACGAGTTGAGCGCGGTACTACCAGGGACGTGGTGGGGATCGAACTCGGAACCACTCGTTTATGAAGCGAGCGCTCTACCACTACAACACTACCGCATTATATTATCTGAGTACCGCATATTATATTATCTGAGTACCGCATTATATTATCTGACTACCGCATCATATTAGCTGAGTGAATAAAAAAAAAGCAATTGCTTTTATTCAGTAATTGGTCAGCTTTACATGAATAAAAATTTCTTAAGTTTCTATTCACTAAAGCTGAGCAATTACTGAGTAATTTGTTACTGAATAACTTAACTTTACGTGAATAAAAATTTGTGCAAAATTGCTGTAATTCTTATTCACGTAAAAACTGACCAATTGATGAGTCAAAGCAATCACTTTTTTATAAATCACACAGCCTATTGATGTTATCATATGCTGAGCTTCATAGTTTTTACTTGAAGTTTTACAAGCATTTTTATTTTTTTTCTGTCATGACAGTCACAACTGTGATGACCATAATGAAAAAATCCAATGCTTAAAAACAACAAATAAAATGACGCAATCAATGATGTAAGAAAAAAAGTTTAAATGATTATTAACAACCATGTATATTATGTTTAAAAAATGCACTATAACACTATCAAAGTTCTCAATTATGGATATTCTAGACAATTTTTAACGCTTCATTACATGAGTGTAAACAAGCATCAAAACAGGACTATACAACCCTTACAACATTTAAACCATACTATGGTATAATAAAATGATTTTTTTTAATAACTATTTTGCTTAAAAGAATTTTTAAATAGTTAAAAAAAAGAGTTATAAAGCATCTAGTATGTGTTTTCATAACTTTTTTGTTTTTTTTCCTCATTCTTGCAGAATTGCCCATATATATGTGTATATGTATGTATATGTATATATATACATATATATATATATATATATATATATATATATATATATATATATATATATATATATATATATATATATATATATATACATATATATATATATATATACATATATATATATATATATATACATATATATATATATATATATATATATATATATATATATATATATATATATATATATATATATATATATATATATATATATATGTATATATGTATATATATATATATATATATTTATATATGTATATATATATATATATATATATATATATATATATATATATATATATGTATATATGTATATATATGTGTGTATGTATGTATGCATATATGTATGTATCTATATATATGCATATATGTATAAATACATATGCTGTATTTCAAAAATGTGACGAGTATACTTTTATTAAAAGTGAGGTTATTTGAAAAAAATATTTTTTTTAAGGAAAAGTTGATGCTTCTGATAAAAAAAAATTTTTGATATAAAATGTAAGATGTAAACACTTATTACTTTATATAAGCTACAAAAAATATTTTCATAAAATTTTTTACAGGAGATACATTTTTCACTATCCTGTAAAATTTTAATTTTGTGAATCATCACGTTTTCAAAATAGAGTGTTCGATTTCAATTAAAACATTTTATCCTTAAAATGGTATGCCAACTTTGTCAACAGATTATTACGTAACAATGGTATTAAAACAATGCATTAAGTTGAAATCTCAAGTTTGTTATCTGACCTTTTTATGCGGTCAAAATATTTTTAAAATGATAAAAATGATTAAAAAATTTACTTTTTATAAAAGTTTTAATATTAAATCTATATTTGGAAAAAAAAAATTTATCTAATATTAATAAATTACTTTTAAAAAATTTGTTATTTGAATAGATAAATATATTATTCCTTTAATAAAAAAAAAATATTGTTAGAATAACTAAAGTTAATTACTTGAAGAATTTCCAATTTTACAAGGTAAACTTTTATTTCAAATCAAACTTGGTATATTATAAATTAGTATTTATAATTCTAGAATTTTCTATAATTCAGTTACTTAATTTTATTAAAATATTTTTCAATACAAAATAGCATTTTTTCAATATTCTCAAAAAATATCCCTAAACATTCAACGTTTGTTTGAAATCTATTATTACATTTTTAATGTCAATGCTATTTACTTGTTATTCAAACTAAAAGCTATTGTATTAAACGTAGTACTGTAAGCTAGTACTGTAATAAATAGGGACAAAAAATAATAACACAAAAACTGTGTTTTTTATCAGTTGCCATAGAAAAATAAGAATAGTGGTATGGCAGTAAGAATAAGATTTAAACTATTTAAAATCAATTTAATATAAACAGTTATCTGTGAATAATTAAATACGTAAAAGTTAAAAAAAATCTAATTAGCAACATTAAAATGAAAAATTATAAAACTATTTAATTGATTCAAAATTAATCAAAATAATACTCAATGATGATTGATTCAAATTGTCAAAAATTGAAACATGCTGACAGTTTATGAATATTAAAAAAATATTGATGCATAACAGCAGAAATATTAATTGAATGAAATGTTCAAGACATGTTAATAACAATAACAAAAGTATTGACAGAAATAATGATGCATGCATTAAAAATACCAACTGAAATACTAAACAATTTACTAAAAACTTTATAAAATGTATAATCAAGGTAGTTTAAAATAAAATAAATTTTTTTAGCTTTTACTTTTCAATTTACGATACTAAATAAAGATGATAAAAGCTGATAAACAAAAAGTAAAATAAAGAAAAAAATAACTCACTAGGATTTTGTTAATCATTACTCTTTTGTCAGCATCAGTTGTTTTTAAAAGTTTTTCTCTGTAATTCTAAAATTAACACAATTATAAAAAATTAGCGTTGTCATTAAAAATTAACAATGTTAATTTTTTATGAGAACAATAAATATAATCAACTTGAAAAAGAAAAAAAAAAAAAGGAAAAAAAAAAATTATAACAAAAACTAAAAAATAAAAAAATATAACAATATATTTGTTATTTGATTATGACCATCATGATGACTAAATGACAAAAATAAAACAAAAAAAAAACCTTTAAAGAAATATCCAAATCTTCCAATACTTTTTCATTTGATGGATTGCTTTCTCTGAACTGCTTCATCAAATGATTTCTTCTTGCTCTATTGATTATCTAATAAAATATTTGATAATAGCATTGTCACTAAATTCCAAAACTAATAAAAACTTGATAGATAAATAACAATTTTTATTAAAACAACCCCATTTCTAGGTTTGCTAAATCACAGAAGAGAGATAACTAATACTAATCCATAGCAATGCAAAACTTGCCCTTTTTTTTTTGCACTGTTATTCATAACTAGGGTGTGTCACACAAACTTAACTTAGTGACAAAGGTTTGTGATTGACATGATTATAATCAGCAAAATTATTTAAGATGACATTCAACACTACTGGATAGAAGAAACATAAAAACCAAGACACAAGTAGTTTCAAGAATAATAAAAACCATCAAAAAAGTAGAAACACAACAAATAATATCTCACTTTTATTGTTATCTACGCAACAAACAATATCTCACTTTTTACAACAATTAGAGTAATAAACTTTAAATATGACAAACTGCATATCCATTATTACATACCCAACAACCAAACCAAACTCATTGTCTGTCAGTTATCTTAACTATTTCTATACTTAAACTACATCATTGAATCACCAAATATTCAAAGAATTTTCTTCTGCTTACTTTGAATATGATTTTTTTACTATGGATACTTAGTTAATTAAATTTTCAGTTTTTTCTTAATTAAAATACTTGTAGAAAATACTAATCTACTTTAACTAAATCGGTTGTGGTATTGCACTATATGTAATGCAATCCATTAAATTTAAACTAAAAATATTTAAAAACTGGTTCAATATAAAAATCCTTATTATTGCTTGACATTGTTTTTGTCAATCACTTATTCTTTATTGAATTAGAATAAATGGCAACTATTTAATTACAGGTTTAACTTTGTGCTTTAGGTCTTTCCTTATCTTGTATACAAATTTAAAAAAATATATGTGGAAGACCTGTCTAAACAATGGAGATTATAAAAAAATTGAAAACATTTTAAAAGATGAATTTAATTTTTTAAATTTAGCAACACAATACAACACAAGATGATGAATAATTATTCTTATAACTTTGTATTATATTTATATATAAAAAGTATAGTTGTTATTATTCTTATTGGTTTTCTAGAAAATTACTTAAAAAAATTGTAAAATTTTAATTTTGTAACTTTTTAAAATAATATCTTTAAATTTTAATTTTGTTAATTCACTTCCTCAAGGCCGAGAAGGCCACTACAGATGAGGAGGCTACTTATTTGTGGTTATAACCTTCTCTCAACTCTATAACTCCAAAACACGAACCTTGACGAAAAAGGCCGATGCGTGGTGAAACGAGTTGAATGCGGTACTATCAGGGAGGTGGTGGGGATCCAACTGGAAACCTCTTGCTTATGAAGCGAGTGCTCTATCACTACCGCATATACAACATACAAATAATTTAGGCAGGAGATGTGACAGGAGGAAAAAGGGACTAGAATATGTTAACAAATTTTAAAAAATCAATATCTGCAAACAAGTTCCTTTACAGATAGTTATTTTAAAAAACCAAACAGAAACTCAAAGTACTTTATATAAACAGAATAAAAATAATGCAGGTGTAACCTTAAAAAAAAATATTAAAAATAGAATACAAATTAAAAATTTAATTATTAAGGTAAAAAGAATTTTAAATGTAAACTGAAAATGTTTAAAAAATAAAACCTTGTCATCAACATCAGTTATATTCATGACATAGAATATGTCATAGTTGAAATAGTCGCTCATAACACGACGAAGAATATCAAAAGTTATGTATGACCTAAAAAAGGAAGGAAAAAAAAATCATTTTATGTAACTTTTCTCTTTTTTTTTTCAGGCGCCCCAAGAAGTCCTTACTGTTTTATCACAGCACCGCAGAAGAGCATTTAATAGGAAGTTTGCACTTCCTTCCCAACCAATGTCACAAAAATTGCCCAAAGGTTGGATTTGAACCATGGATATTTTGTTTCTGAGGCAAGTGTGCTACCACTATGCCACGGCTGCATAATTATTCAATATATATCAAGCCTTCCCAGAAAAGGCGTGCGGTTTTGTCTCGTAAAACCATGAAAACATTTTCCAAGTAAGAGAACGTGATCACGGCCATTTGCGCAAGTTTTATTATATGCGTTGCTGAAAAACTGTTTTAAATTTAATAACTACATAAGAAATTAAAGTAAACTTAAATAGAAAACAATAATAATAGTTTAAATAATTTGTGTTGTTTTTATTTTTGTTTTTTCTTAGTGGTTATTATTATCGGTAACAAAATTCAGTTAGTCAAAGCAAAAAAAAAAAAAAAAAAAAAAACTTTTAGGCGTTAAAAAGGATGACTTTCCCATACTTTATGTGTTTTATCTTTTAAAGAGGAAAGAGAAAATATGTATCGTCATCTGTTTGTAAAATATATTTGTATAATTGTAAAATGTAACAAGTTTATATCAGAGTTAAATTATACGATTGCGATTTGCAAACTCTGGTAAAATAGGTCTGGTAAAATACGATACACTTTTAAATTGTTTATCACATTTTTATAAGTTATTTAAATTTTAATATTATTTGAACATCCACTTTACTCTTCTAGATATTTTTCTACTTCAATTGAAATTGAAGTAGAAAACAAAGAATGAATTTTAAAAGTTATAAGTGTGTTATAAAAGTAATAACACTATTATAGTGTTATTACTTTTGTAATGCAGTTAGTGACTAGAGCTTTATTACTTTTGTAATCGTAAATTTATTGTTTTATTTTTTATTTTTTCGCTAACAAATTTAAGTTGATTCTCCCCTTAAAAACAAGGAACACAGTTTTGTATAAACTAAAATTTTGAATACTAGATATTTTTCCAGATTTTGCGTTTCGCTATCGCTTTATTCAACCCTTGTTGTTACATTAAAATTATACAAATAAATTTTACAAACACATCGCAATTTGTACTTTTGCTATCTTCTTAAAAAAAAAGTTACGAAAAGGAAAATCATTCTTTTTATTTATAGACTTCAAGCTTTTTTTTTTTTTACTTCGACTTTTGTTGCTGAATGTAACAACCACTCTATAGAAACAAAAATAAAAACAGTACACAAATAATTTAAGTTATTAATGTGTTTTTATTTTTTTCTATTTTAATTTAATTTTTCTATTTTAATTTCTCTTTTTACTTTGTTAGATTTGATTTTTTTTTGTTTTTGAAACTTTTTCAGAATTGATTATTACAAAACTTGCGAATGGCCGTGTTCAAGTTGTCTAAAATAAGATACTCGCGTGTAATCATACAAGACAATAAACCGTGCACCTTTCCTGGGAAGGCTTATATATATATATATATATATATATATATATATATATATATATATATATATATATATATATATATATATATATATATATATATATATATAAATATATAAATATATAAATATATAAATATATATATATATATATATATATAAATTTATATATATATAAATTTATATATATATAAATTTATATATATACAAATTTATATATATATATATATATATATATATATATATATATATATATATATATATATATATATATATATATATAAGTTTTATGATGACATAGGCCTTGGTAATTCCTAATCTGATTGGCCATAATACTGAGAAATGTTGTTATTGTTTAATTTTTTAATATTTTCTATACTATTTGTTCTTAACTTGTCATGATTTAAAAAAACAACTAGTTCTATTATTTTGCAATATAATTTTTATTTAATAGTTCTATTATTTTGCAATATATTTTTATCTTAATTTTGACTTTTTTATCTCTTCTATATAACTTAATTCTATCTTCATATTTTTATATTTCTTAAATATAGCTTTAATCATAATATTTATTGTCTAACTTTTGAAAAGAGTTTTTTTGTTGTTGTTGTTTTTTTGTTTTTTTTGTTATTTTTAAAATTTAAATTAAAAAAAAAATTATAATAATAATGAGCAACTAAATATTTATATAACAACACTTAGCTTACCTGGCATGTCCCATATGTGAAGCATCATAAACAGTAGGACCGCAGCTATACCATGTCACTTTGTTCCCAGATTGTGGAACAAAGAGATTCTTAAATCATAAAATCAAACAAACAATACAAACAAATCATCTAGTAAAGTTCAAAAAAGTAAAGTTTAAAAACTCTAAATATTGATAAATAAATATTAAAGGAATTTAGAGACAAGTTGTGTTCATATAATAGATAGAAGAAACCCTTTCTATTTTAAACTTGATTCAAATTTTTTGAAAGAAACTTTTTTATTGATGTCAAATATAAACACATTAATCAGATTGGATTTAAATAATAAAATGAGTTGGAATAATAAAAAGAGTCGGAATAATAAAAAGAGCCAGAACTTTCCTTTGTGAGAAACAAAATGGCGTTAAAAATTAAGAAGTTTTTTGTTGATATCTTATTTGATAATTTGTTTTAAAAAGTTTAATTAACTTTTAATTTATTTTCTAATGTTTATCTATGATATAAGCACAACTTGACTCGGCATTTAGGAATCTCTTTAATAAATAAATATTTATAGATTCTTCAGAAATTTTATCTAGGATTTATTACCACCAAGTAACTGTAAAGTTATACTGCTATAGTATATTCTCTAAAATAAATAGTGAACAAACATTTTAATGATCCAATAAAACACATGACAATGAATAACATTAGGCTGTTTTAAAAATTAACAATTGCAAACAATTTTGAAAAACAGCCTAATGTTATTCATCGTTTTAATAATTTTATTCATCATTTATTGGGTGATCAAAATATTTACTTACTATCTATTTTAGATAATATATATTAGTGGTATAATTTTACGGTTGCTTTTTACTTTTAATTTAGGTATTTTAAACCACTACACCAAATAAAACCTCATTACTTATTCTCTTGTATTTTTTTCCAAAAAGAATATAAGTTTTGTTTAGCTTTATCTTTTGAGTACTAGTTTAACATCATGACCAGGACAACTTTTGTACTTTATGAAAGAAATATCAATTTATTCTAAAAATAAAATTAACTTGCTGAAAATATTAGTACTAACATTCATATCTTTTAACATTATGCATACTGGGAGTTTGGTCCCTTCTTCTACAGATTTTTCTAGGTTTTCAATTTCTAGTTTACTATCAAACACTTTAATTTGATATCAAACTTCAACTGCCAGTTTGCTATCAAACTGATACTTTTCAAACTTATCTGCTAGTGATTCAAAAGTCATTAGAACTTTTTCTTCTCAAAGAAACTTGCTTAATATACTTGCATAGATAGTATTACAAACACCTTTATCAAAAATATTTTTACAACTCTCGAATTGAATTTTTTTGACATTGTAAAACCTAAGTAATGTGAACTGTTCATAGCGCCAGCATGTTTTCTTGTATTTCGGGTTTTTTAACACCTCTTCTTAATTCTGTTTTCTATTCTGAAAGTATCTAATATGAAATTAATGTCAGCACTTGTGTTCTGTACAAATGCAAAAAAAGTTTTTTTTGTCATTTTTTATGTCAGTCTTGCTGAATGTAGACCTGCATAAATAGAACTAAAATTAATTTCATGTAGGAGAACTAAAAAACTCACCGTTTCTCGGGTAAGACTATTATATAGATGAAGTTGACTTTTATTAGTCTGACTGTCTAAACAAGGTTGTGTCCAATGTTGCATTCTGATATTTATGAAAGATATCCTTTGTGTAGAATATTTAAATATATATAAAATGGCGTTGTTTTTGAAAAACCTAAGGAAATAAAAAACTTTTTTATTATTACTATTAAACTACTTATTAAAGAGAACTTATCAATTTTTAACAGAGCTCATAATAAATGTTGAATTTTAGTGCTACTCTGACCTGTATGAAAAAACTACTGTGGCCTGCTAGAAAATCAACTAAATTATATTTTTATATTTCAACATTTATTTTGAACCCCATTCTATAACAACAATAATATTAATAACAATAATAATAATAATAATAATAATAACAATAATAATATTAATAATAATGGTACTTAATCAAAATTCATTGATTACTTTAAAACAACCACTTTTAATTTTGTGAAATATATTTAAAACTAAAAATGGAAATCCTAGTTATATATTTTTAGAGTTTAGATATATTTAATTTGCAATCTGACCTCGAACACTTTAATATAAACTCTCTCTTATTTCCTTTTTATTTTTATTATAAATCTGTGGAATAAAACCACAGTCTCTATTTGATTTTCCACTTACTAATTGCAAATTTGCATTTTTTTTTAAATACCATTAGAACTTAAAAATTTACTTTTATATAATAATTGATAGATTTTTTGTACTATTTATACAGGTCTTTTATATTACGGAGATATTTCAAATTAAAACTTTTTTAAATTAAAATATTTTAATATTTATATAATTTATATTGCGTATAACTGTAACCAATATTGCATTAAAAGTTCATTTGTAATGTAATATGTCATTAGTATACCTTTTTATTTTTATATTGTCAAAATTAATTGTAATAATAAAAATATAACTATTTTTAATAATTAAAATGCAACTATTTATTATTCTATTTTATATTATCAAAACATTTAACATATAAATTTATAAAAGTTTATGTGTAAATAAAAAGTTTATGTTTATATATTCAATTTATAAACTATATTTTTAAGTTATTGATTTATTTTGAGTTTTTAAATTCATAGAATATTTAAAATTTTATTACTATTTGAACTTTATTTATTATGTAACTATTTTATGTAAACATTTTTTTAAAACTTTGTTTGTAGATCACAAATCTGTTAAAATTAAAATCCTAGCTGCTCGCCCATGACCTCGAAAAGTGAAGGAAATTTTTATATAATAAAACAGATTAGTTAGAAAAAATGTAAAAAAAAAATAATTGAAGGGTATAAAAGAACTAAAAGATTAAAGAAAAAACCAAACAAGAAGATGAATAAAAGAAAAAAAAGAACAAGCAAACAAAAACGAAACAAAAAAAAAATCAATTAACAGCAAAGTAGCAATTTAAAAGAAAAAAAGTTTGAAAAAAAATTTTCTATGGATTGACTCTCCAGTTTATTCTGACACGCATTTCCTCCAAAAACCTTAGACAAAGCAAGAGTTAACTAACTTTGATGTTAACCAATAAAAACCACTTATAAAATGTTTCTCAAGTTCTCACCTGATAATTTTCTGAAATCAGTTTCAACTTTAGCAGCCATAGCATGGCTTTTTCTTTGGCTAAAAGTGGCAAAATTCCTATCCAGAAAACATGATTGACAACTCCTTGTATCAAATGTAATTCTGGAAGAGGGCATTTAGCTTTAACTAACATACAATCTGAATTGTTTAAAAGTGGAAGTTTCATTGTGCTTATGGTGTTTGGCACATCTCTTTTTTTTTTGAGGTACTATATGAAGCATTACCAATCTGTGAACATCTCTTAACTTTCCTTTTTTGCTAGCCATACCCCTTTTAGAATACAAGGATCTTTTTTTTTAAAAGGCTCAATTCTTTCAACATTTTGAATTCCTTAGTTTTATCCTCAGTTAATTCACGATTTATCTCTGGTTGATAACTCTTTGGTAAAACTGTTGCACAAATTTTTTGTGCAACATTTACTAGAACCCTAGCCTCCATCAGCCATTACCTAAAATAAACAGATTTACTGAAAATTTAATTACAAATTGAATTATAATGTAAATATGAAACACAATGATATCTTATTGTATACTTTTTCACTAATCTCTTAAACTCTCGTCACAGCATTTGCAATATTTGGTGAATAGTTTTTTTAAATTTGGGATTTAAGGTAACTTTCTATTTTTATTATTTTTGTTTTGCTAGTGTTATTCTGCAGGTGCCATATTTACAAAGAGGATATTTGCTATTTAATCTGAATTTATATTCATTTTAATTTGTTCAGTTATCTTTTCTGTGATTGCAAATTGTTGAGAATTTTTTTCAAATTATTTATAATGCAGTTTTAATCAAAATTTAAAAATCTAAGATAAGCAGCTAGGATTTTAATTTCAACAGATTTGTGATGTACAAACAAAGTTCTTAAAGGATCTGGAAGCAGTTTTCATTTACATTTTAACCGATATTGAATTTGTCAATGGCCAATGTGTCTATAGGTAGTTCAAGGCCAATTAAAAAAATAATAATATGCAGTTAAATAAATCATGCATGCAAAATGTCATTTATTAAGCAGGTACATTTACAATAATGTAAATTAGAAAAACAGTTAAAAACTATTATAAAGCTGGTACTTATAACTGCGATCATACTTACATAGAAGAATTTCCTGTTAAAGTATCTACTATTCACTAAAATAAGAAAATTAGGAAAGATGCATTGTCTTATTGTTGTGCATTGAATAAATTATTGTGTATTGTGTAAACTAATTTATTATAAATGATAAACTATATATGTATATATATATCAGGGATTATATCTTTACTTTTTCTCTTTATATCTTTACTTTTTCCAAGTCTGTAGTGCCCAGAAGCTCTAAACATGATAGTTGACTTATTATCAGCTTTAAGAAAAAGATTCATGAGATTTATAACTTGAAACTTATTATTTTTAAGCCCGGTGTCCTGGAGTCCCGGAGTCCTTGCTGCTATTATAACTAAGGACTTCGGGTTCAAAAAATTGTTGTTCCTTTAACTTAAAAGTCCTAATTTTTTTCCTATTAGTAGTCCATAAATTTATTTATATTTTTAGAGCTTTTGGATACCAAAAACTAGGATGAAGTAATATTTTTGTGACTTTTGAATCCGGAGTCCTTTTTGGGACTCCGCATCCCTGATATATATATATATATATATATATATATATATATATATATATATATATATATATATATATATATATATATATATATATATATATATATATATATATATATATATATACATATATATAAATTTAAAATAAAGTCCAGAGAAGAACAATTTTTACACATAAAGTGCTAAACTACTAATCACAAATTATATTTTAATAAAAATAAAATTTAATAAAATTATATTTATATTTTAATACCACTTTTTAGTAAATGCTTAATATTTACGCTATTAAATGTATAATTTTTGTTAATGCTTTTGTATAGTTGAATTATCATTATTATTACTTTTTTATTATAATTGTATAGGTTTTTAGAATTAATGTGGAGTGTGAAACAAATGTGCTCAGATGAAAGGCTAAAAAGATGATTGAAGAATTATGTAAGAAAAATCATTTTGAAAACTTTATTACAGTACTATGAATAATATAAAAGAATATGAAACTCTTATTATTATTTCATATTCTATTATATTTAAATATATACAAATATGTGCTCATTAAGTTAAATGCATAAAACATAGATAACAAAAAACTATAACGTTTAACTGATATTCAACATAACTCAATGAACTACTTTAAATAATAAACTATAAATGAAACTAACTTTTCCAGGTCCCTTAAAACAGAAACTCAGATGAAAGCTAGTTTTTTGACAACTTAGCCTACAAATTAGTATCTATAAAAACATTTTTTATTTATGTTTAAAAATAATTATAATAAAAAGTTAGCTACAGTTATCCGCAGTAGTAGAAATTAGCTTATTAAAAAAATATATAATTAAAAAAAGACAGAAATGGTAATTTATTAATGAAGTAAAACTTTAAAACAAAATCATTATTTTAAAACTCTTTAAAACTATTTTAATACAAAACTTTGAAGAAAAATAAGAAACTTTAATTAAAATCTATATCAACAAAAATAACTTGGGATTTTCCCTGCCAGTAGTTCTAAAACTGGTAACTTATGTTATGCAATTGATTTTTTGTTAAAAAAAAAACAAAAAAATAATTGCATAACATAAGTTTGCATAACATAAGTTTGCATAATGAATACCTCCTAACAACATCAAGAACTAACGTCATGTAAATATGTTAGTAAAAAGTTTTATCTTAAAAAATGAAAAATTTGTTTGGTCTAACACCTACAAAAGATGTTACGTCAAAAGTTTCATCGGTTTAAGCTGAAGATTTATGTAAATCATAGGATTTTTTACACCACAATCTTTTCTTGTGACTTTACAACAAAACATTTTATTTTAAGTAAAAAATAAAATAACTAAATTAAAAAATAAAATAATTAAAAACAATTTCTAATGAAATGTTGTAAATTATCTCAATTAATAAATGTAAGATACTTATATAAAAAAAGAAGTTATGTATGCCTTTTATTAAAAAAAAAATTTGGAACATTTATTTTAAAAATAAATTAATTAAAATTAAAGATTCAAAAATGCAATTCAAAAAAAAATTCAAAAAAAAAATACAAATAAATTATTTGCCATTTGTTTCTCTGATACATGAGCCTCAGATTATTTAATTTTTTAAAAAAATATTCCTAAATATTTAGGGGTGAGGGATTATCCTTAATATTTAGACTCTAGACTCTAATAAGCCTAAAGTTGGGCAATAATTTCTTTTATGACATAAGTATGAACATACAAAATCTTAAAGTTTAGAAATTACCTAGAAGTTACATAAAATACTTAAAGATTCTTGATCTGCCTCTAAATATTATATGTATCTTTTTTGATATCATTCTAATGCTCAAAAGTTTAAGAGTACTTTAAGGGTACTCTAATTATATAACAAAATACCTACAAAAAAATCAATATGCCATAGTTTCAATTTTAAAAAACTAATCCTTCTATGATAGAGAAAAACTAGTTTATAATAATTTTCACAATTACTATAATATAGTAATATATAGTCTATATATAAGTTTCATAGTCATAGATTATGATTATATAAATTTATAAATAATGGTCTTCTTTAAAATATGATATATAAATTTATATATCATAGATGATATATAAATTTATATATTATATTTTAAAGAATACCATTGTTTATCATGATTTCGTTTCATGATAATATTATAATAATACAAACAACAATAAAGATAATAGCAAAAACAACAACAACAACAATAATAATAATGATGAAACACTATATTTACTAATATAAATGTAATACTAATATGTATGTGTGTGTTTGTGATAAGAACACATACACACAAAAATACATAAACAAACAAACACACAGTACACTGTAGACATGTGCACTGTACACTGTAGACATGTGACATTAAAATAATTGTAAAATTATGTAACTAAAATAGGACTTTTAAACTTTCCATACTTATTAGCTAAGGCTTTCTCTCGTGAGAAGCCGAATAAATTCCCATAATTTTTTTTTTTTTACAAAAGCTGAATTTAAAAAAATAACAACTAATTAAAGAAAAAAATGACTAGTTAAAAAAAAATTCGACGAATTCATAAAACGTTTTATGCGTTACGTATACCAATTTTTAAAGCGGCAGGAAGTGGGTGATGCAAGATACATTACGGCAATTCTTTAAATTAAGTCATAAACGTTTTTTTTTTTTTTTTTTGCAATACGTGTAAAAATACTTAATAAACGTTTTTGCCGGCATGAAGAGGATGATGCAATATTAATTGTCGTTCAATAATTATTTAACGGCAAATCTTTTTCGTCGCTGCATTTGCTTACGTCATATCGTTTGTTAACTCAACACACGTTTTAAAAAGATGAAAATTCCAAAATCAGCTTAATAAAGTAAGAAAAACACTCACATTTAAATATTGGCATTTATACATTTACAAATGTATAGATGCGCTTATATTTTTTTTATTTTTTATTTTTTTTATGTTGATAAGAAGTCCTTACGGTCTTATCACAGAGTACCGCGGAAGAGCATTTAACATGAAGTTCACGCCTTCTTCCTAACCGATGTCGCAAAACTTGCCCAGAGGTGGGGTTTGAACCACAGATCTTATGTTTCTGAGGCAAGTGCGCTACCACTGCGCCACGGCTGCTATATATAAACTGCTAACAATTAAACATAACAATTAAACATAAGATCACAAGATCTGACGACAAGATCTTGTGATCTTCTTAAAGAAGATCACAAGATCTTGTCTTCAAAACCTCATAAAATACAAGAAAGCAAAATAAAGACAAGTATAACATACTAAAAAATAAAGTAAAAATTAAAATAAAAAAGTAATAAAATTCAAGTTAAATAACAATTTTCTAAATATTAGAAGTATTTGAGTATATTATGAAGTGAAAAAAATACATTTTTTAAAATTAAGTTTGAAAAGACAAAAGGAAGTTAGTTAATCGAAATTCCGCAGAACAATATTATTCCAATGTGGGGTCCACGATAAGCAATGCAAAATCGATTAAATTTGACTTTGCTTATCGTGGTGAAAAACGGCTCATTTAAAAAATTTATTTTTCTCATATCGTATTTGTTGTTAGATTTGAGTTTGAAAATATTATTAAAAGCGGTAGGGGATAAATTATTTCTCCATTAATATACAAAACATAAAAATTTAAATACATTGAGTTCAAATAGTTTTAATACTCTCATTTCAGTAAAAATAGGTTTTGTATGTGTAAAACACTGATCTCTATAATAACTAGTTGTTATAGAGATCAGTGGTGTAAAACGATAAGCATAGTTAATTATGCGGATCGCATGTTTTTGACGACGATAAAGAAGTTTTAATTTACTTTTATTAGTACTCCCTCAAGCAGTGTTAGCATAATTTATGTAACTGTGGATAAAAGAGTAATAAAGTTGGCTTATCAAATCTTTGTTAAGATAGTTACAAGCTTTATATAGAATCCCAATGTTTTTTGAAAATTTAGCGGATACATAATTAATGTGTTGATTCCAAGAGATGTTTTCATCGAGATAAACGTCTTAAAATTTGGTAACGGAATCATTTTTTATTTCAATTCCGTCTATATAAAGTTGCAGCAAGTTTGTTGGTAAAAATTGCTTTTTTGCATAGAATGGAACAGAATCCATTTGGTTTTATTAATATTTAAAGTTAGCTTAAACCAGTTTGATGTATGTTTTAATTCTTTATTCATAGTGGTAAAGTGTTATATATTACTACTAATATCATATATACTACTTTTTGAGAGGAATAGATTGGTATCATCTGCACATGATACTTATAAGGTTAGAAGCTTTATTCGAATCATTTGTATATATATATCAAGAAAAGTAGGGGTCCGAAGATTGAACCAACACCGCATACGATATCAAGTTAATTATTTTGATAACCGTCGTTACTAATTATAAATTGTTTTCTTTTTGTTAAGTAGCTTCTAAACCATTGTAAAACAGTACCTTTGATTCCATAATATTTAAGTTTTTGTAGTAAAATATAATGATCTACAGTGTCGAAAGCTTTTGATAAGTCAATGAAGATGCCTTACAAGTACTGCTATTTTTTTTAATAGATTTTGAGATTTCATGCACAAACTGGATTATTTCATGCTCTGTTGAATACTCTTTTTAAAGCTGAATTGTTTGTTATATAGTAATTTATTTTTATTGAGATGTTTGTATATTCTATAGACATTATCTTCTCTAAAATTTTTGAAAATACCGAAAGAACAGAGATAGGACGGTAGTTGCTAATATTTGATCTATCACCCTCTTTAAAGTTAGGAGTAACTTTAGCAATTTTTAATTATTTTGGAAATACTCCTTGATTAATAGAAACTTTAAAAAGAACATAATTTAATATACTAAAACAGTCTATAATTACATTTCCATTAATTTTATCTACTCCTATTGCTTAGTTTCTTTTCAAAGAATTCAAAGCTACTTCAAATTTCCCAAAATATAATTCTGTTAAACTCATCAGAACAAATGCAATTATCCATAGGTACGAGGAAACCATTAAAGGAAGCCGTTGTATTTGGAATCTTATTTGATAGGGAAAGACCTATCCCAATAAAAAATTTACTAAATTCATATGGCTCTTGGTTCATATAAACTTATGTTATCAACTTTAATCATCTGCGGCAGAAAACCTAAGCATGATTTTTGTTTTCCAGTAATTTCTTTCATAAATTTCCATGCGCGTTTTAAGTCGTTTTTACATTTATTAATTAGGTCTGAGTAGTAATTTCTTTTTAGGCTTTTACGTATTTTTTTCAAATAGATATTTGTAGTTTTTATATATTTTTTTTCGCTAACAGGTGTTTTTGTTATTAGATATTTAACATATAACTTCGGTTTAATTTTTTGACGATTTTTTAAAGCCTTATAATCCAGGGACTTTTTGAGCTTTTGTTCATCTTTATTATTTTTTCAACAATTGCAAAATTAGCTTCGTAAACAGAAAACAATGCGTTATAAAATGTTTCGTGTTATTTGCATTGTCAATAAAATCAATATGATTTCCACGCAGTAAAGCTGATCTTTAAATAGTTCAAGATTTTTTTGTTTTAAAGTGTTTTTACAATTATTGGGGTGTTAAAATTTTACAATTATTGGGGTGTTAAAATTTTACAATTATTGGGGTGTTAAAATTTTACAATTATTGGGAGTTAAATTTTTTTTCTAAATTTGAGTTTAAAATCATGAATATAGGGAAATTATCGGATATATCAGTTTTTATATATACCTTTTTAAATAATCTTTATTAAAAATGTCTGTTGTAATGATATTATCTATTAGGGTAGCCGAGTTTATTGTTACCTCGGTTGGGCGATTAGTTAAGATTCTGTTTCAAAAATTGTCATATAAATTTTTTTAACTTTATGGTCATTGTTATAAAAAAAACAATTTATATTAAAGTCCCCAATTACAAAACTTTTTTTTTTTCTGCGTCACTAATTTTCACGATATGTTGTAAAAACATGCTTGGGTTTTATCTCGCGCTGTCAGGTGGTTGATATCAACAGCTTATAATAATGTTTTTTGTTTTTTCAAGTTAAAAGTTCAATTAAAACTTCTTTATCACCATCTAATCTTAGACACTTAAATCATTTCTCATATTATAAAAGATATTTTCCTGAACATAAATTAGAATTCCTCCACCCCGCTTATTCGTTTTTCTTTCTTGTGAGATAATTTTAAAATGATGAATATTAAAATTATTGTCAAATTTTGACAATAATTTTAATATTCATCATTTCATCATGAAATATGGGTTACATTAAACAATTCTGACTCAAAATCGTTTAATGTAACCCATATTTCAGTTAAACAAATGATATTAAAATAATTTTTTTGTTTTTTCTAAAAAATGTAAAAGTTTTTTAAAGTTCCGATTTAAATTTCTAATATATTGAGGTGGAGAATTCTAATTCGATTTGACCTTTTTTTAATTGCATTCTAGAAAAGAAACCCTTATAATTCTTTAGGATAAAAATTAGCACAATCCGTAAATGTATTGCAAAAAAAAAAATTTTTTGGATCTATCTTTTCACCAGAAGAAAAGCAGTTTTCTTCCAAAAAAATTAAAAGTAATGGATTCAAAATCATTCAATAAAGCCATGTTTATTAAAATTAGGTTAAGCAAGGTTTCTTTTTAAGAATGCGTAATTCGACTATTTGTTTAAAGCGTTTTTAAAAATATTATTTTCAAAAGAAGTAATTTTATCGTAACGAACCGAAACATTCTCACCATTTAAACGTCGTTCTTTTACTTCCGCAAACAATTTACTTGCAACTGTTTCGCGATTGCAACTGTTTCGCGAGAAAAATCTTTATTTACATAAATGTTTGTTCCTCCGAGACGAGTTGATTCTTTTAAAATTTAGCTTTGGTTTTGTATTGGTGAAGTTTTAAAACTAATACCCTCGGACGTCCAACATTTTTTGACCCAGTAAGATGTGCACGTTGACCCAGTACGATGTGAACGATGAACGATGCGAGCTATTTCCGAGGGTACGGATTTTTTTGTTTAAAAAGTCATTATTAATTCGTTCTTTCTCTAATTGTTTGATATCGATTTTGTCTAATAAATGTTTGTTGTTATTTTCAATCTTTTTATCGATTCTTTTATCTCTTCAAGCTCTTTTTCAATTTTTTAAATCTTATTTGCATTTACAATGATATTTGTCTCAAACTTATCCAATCTTTCGTTGAGTATTTTTGTGATCGTACTAACAATAGAAATAACTGTTTTTTCTTGGTTTTTAAATATAACTTCAGTTTCCTTCTTAAAATCATCCAGCATTTCTTTCATCATTTTTTTTTTTACTTCTTTGAGTGTTGCCGCCATACTTAAGAGAGAGTTTATAGAGATCATGGATCTCAGTGAATTTATTAAGAGTGTGAGTATGTTTAAAGAGGTTGGTAAGAGGTCTTATAGAGGTCTACTGGCCTCATTGTGACAGAGTGGCCGAAAGATATATATATATATATATATATGGTTAGTACTATTTGCCATGTAACTAATAAAACCAAAAACATCATGTATATAGATACTGCAGTGGCAGATTAAGACTTCTTGGGGCCCGGGGCTATTTTTGTTTTTAGAGGCCTTTTCAAAACCACACGTTATGCACAAAGTAATAGCAAAAGCCGCAACAAATAACAACTATGTGAACGATTATAGCTCCCTTAAAAATACCCTTTTAAGTAAGGTAATAACTAAAATCAGCGACAACGGTTTCTTATTAGCTATAGAAGACGCCGGATATGATAAATTCCTATTCGGATACCAACAAATCTGTAACGGCTCATTAATCGAGATATGAAGAATGACAAAATCAAACATACAATTCTTGAAAAAGGAATAAATATCAATGGTATAAACCATCAATTCTACCAATTAACTCCGAGTAGAAATATGAGCAAAAGAGTAACTGTGTCCATTCTTGGTTTACCAATCGAAAAAAGTAATTTTCCTGCAGGAAAATTTCTGGAGGAGCTAGGTTACTGAAAGCACATTAGAACGAAACCTATATATAAAACAACACAAACAAAACAAAACGCACTATTACTCCGGTATTATTGTCGCAATTATGGACAAATTAGATAAACCTATCCCTAGGTTCATCACCCTAAATGGTTATGAAGTTAGGGCGATTTACAACGGATAAGAAGATGTAGGAAAGCCACAAAATAAAAATATTTTAAAGTAGAAAAACATAGAAGAAGATGTAAACGAACCAACTTGAAACAGCACCTAAGAAACACCACTGGCAGAAAGACAAAGTCCACTTAATATTATAACAATCGAGGATAAGGAAGAAGATACGGAAATGGAAAAACGTGAGGATAAAGTAGAAACACAAAAAACAGAAAAAACTATAGAGTTCCAACAAAAAACAAACCAAGAAAAAACAGCAAATGAAAACGATCTTAGTAAAAACGGCGCAAACGAAAGCATAGTAGATGAAAGAAATGAAAAATATAGTGATGCCAATGATAATCAGATTATCATTGGCATCACTATCTTATCTAGATTATCTAGATGACGATAGTAATGAGGATAGTGATGAATACGAGATACCAGATGAATTTTTTGACTTGCAACATGTAGAAAGAGTGGAGTATAACTGAAAATATTCACTTTAATTGTAGTGACAAAGAACTAAAAAAGTTCAAAACCTTTAAAAAACATGAGTGGCGAGGGTACGAATTATCTTTAGATATATATAAAAGAGTTGAAACAAAAACAAACTTTATACCAATTGAATTTAAACAAATGGATTCCGGAAAAATGTATGCATACAATTCGAAAGAATTCAAAAATTTTGTATTTAAAACAGCAAAAAGTAATGAAAAAGGAAGATATATAGCGTGTAAAAAAACAGAGAGGGAACAGCGAAGAAAAGAACACTCACAATTTGATCTAGACCATGAAATGAAACAAGAGGAACGGAACCTTAAAAAACAAATCTATCAATCTAAAAAACAAAAGCTAGCATAATATTAACAATTGAGAAACTATAGTATATAAAATAGTAAAAAAAAAACTCATTAACAAAACAAAATAAATAAAAATAAAAACATAAAATTAAAAAAAAAAATTTTACAATTGTTAAATAAGTCACATCCAAGAGTTCCTTAGCAACATAACAAAATAAAAATATAAAACAATAAAATTTAAAAAAAAAAAAAAAGTATCTGTTCTTATTAGTTTATCTGGTACGCCGGTGTCAGGAAATAAATGTTCCCCATTTTAGAATTTCCCCCGAAATATTCTTTCCGGGGGGAAAATTCACGAAAAAGCCATGTCAAATTTTTACATTAAGCGCCGCCATACATACCAACGTTCCTTAGAATAGGTCATATTTAAGTTTAAGGCATGTTATTTAATAGTTAAAATGCCTTAACAATCATTACACCTTTATTATAAAAAAAAAATAAAAGTTTTAGCAAAATTTTTATCGGGGGAACATTTATTACGGGCGGGGAAGAAATATTTTATCCCCCCCCCGGAATGTTTGTTCTAGAATATATTTCCGACGGGAAAGTTTGTCCCGGTAAATACTTTCCGGGGGAAAACAATATGGGGGGAAAACTTGATATGCGACACCGGCATAGTCTGGCTCATATATTAATCTAATTTTTGGCATTAGGTCATGGTTTACCTTACTCTGATCACGGGTTGCCTTGGCTTTGCACTACTGCCAGATTAAAAATAAATGAAATATTTTGACTTTTAGAGTGTCCAACATCGCCAATGGCCTCAGCTGCTGATGATGATGATGATAACGCTGTTGTTGCTGCTGCTGCTGCTGCTGATGATGATGATGATGATGATGATGATGATGATGATGATGATGATGATCATATGGATGTTCGGTAGAGCAACGCAAGTGTTCTGTATTGCAACTCATTTGTTCGGTAAAGCAACGTGACGCGGCCTATGTTCGTTTTTGCAACCATTTTGTTCGTTATCGCAACTTGTTGTTCGTTATTGCAACCCCGGGAGCGCATGTTAAGCTTTATAAACTTTTTGTTTTTTAAAACACTTACTTGATCGTAAGCCGGTACAGAAAATTGTCTGACCGCCATCGAAAATATTTGTATTGTTTTTACAGCAAATAAGTAATGTCAATCATATATATTTAAAACTAGAACTAAAATCGCTTTTAGGTGAAATGTATGAAAACAAGGATTAAAGTTTATCATAAGCTATTTTTTTCTTTACTATATATATTTATATATATATATACTTTTTTTTTTCAAGACAAGTTGCACTCCTAAAATGTCGTGTGTTCTTTGCAACAAATTTTTTGTTGTAGATGGATGTAATTTTTGCAACCAATGTTTAAGTATAAAGTTTTTTTTTTTACTTTTGTTCTATTTAATATTAAAGGTTTTAAACAAAATTTTTTTTATGATTTGCATTTTTTTACTTTCCCTTTTTTAAGGTAGTACTAGTGATATTGAAGATTTAGATATATTTGTCACAAAAGGTATATATTTGTTCTCATTTTTGTTGTAGTCTGTACTTTTGTTGTAGTTTGTAAGATATTCTAAATAAGTCTTCATAAAATCACTCATTAAATTGACTGTACAAAAGAAAAGATTCAACTGAATGATGACTTGAAATCAAATTTTATATTTTGAGATAAGAGATTATTAAGTTATATAGGTTCACAGATGTGAATATATATAACTATATAGCTCCTTTGCCTCAGTATCTTTTTTTATCATTATTTGTATTAAAATAAGTATATAAATAAATATTTATAGCATTGAATCTGTTTACAAAAAGTAGCATGATGGAAATTGCATCTTCTCAGTTGCTTAAATCAATTTATTCTGGTCAAGTAAGTAGCCTTATTTACAGTTTGCAGATAACTTCTGTATCACAAAAACAGACATAAAAACTAATATATATAATATATATATATATATATTTGTGATATATATATATATATATATATATATGTATATGTATGTATGTATATACATATGTATGTACATATATATGTATATATATATATATATGTATGTATGTATATATATATATATATATACATATATATATATATATATATATATATATACTAGGTTGGTTGAAAAGTTCGCGGAGCGGCACCTATGTTGCAGTAGTAGAAACAAATTTATAACTGTATTAAACGTATTCATTCTTCGTATGAACGCATAAAAAATTTCAAGTCGATATGTCATTTCAGTCTTTGTTTACAAGCTATTGAAATTAGACGTGTCATAGCATTTTTTAAAATGGAAAATATTGAACATCGTGCTGTAATAAAATTCTTTGTGAAAAAAGGTTTAAAGCCCATGGAAATTCATAATGAAATGGTAAATGTGTTGGGTGATGATGCTCCTTCAAAAACAACAGTATGCAAATGGGCTGCGGAGTTTCAACGTGGGCGTTCAAGCCTTGAAGATGACCCTCGCTCTGGACGTCCAAAAAGTGCTACTACTGAAGAAACGATTAATGCTGTGCATGACATGGTTATGGATGATAGACGATTGACCAAACGTGAAATTGCTGAGGCTGTGGGCATCTCAGATGAACGGGTATTACACATCTTGCACGATGAATTACGTCTGAGAAAGCTGTTGGCAAGATGGGTGCCGCATTCGCTAACTCTGGATCAGAAACGCACTCGAGTAAAACTTTCTCAAGAACATTTGGCCCGTTTTCAAAAGAATAAAACAGATTTTGTGCGTCGATTCGTAACCATGGATGAGACTTGGGTTTACCACTATGATCCGAAGCTGCGACAACAAACTGCAGAGTGGACAGAACCCGGTTGTTCAGCTCCGAAGCAAGTGAAGGCGTCAAAATCGTCAAAGAAGGTTATGGCATCAGTTTTTTGGGATGCGAAAGGAACTTTATTAATAGATTACCTTCAAACCAGTAAAACGATAACAGGTGAATATTATAAAAATCTTTTGGACCAGTTGGATAAAAAAATTCGTGAGAAAAGACCTGGTTTGCTGCATAAAAAAATCATTTATCACCAGGACAACGCACCTGCTCATATCAGCGATGTTGCAAAGGCGAAATTGGTCGAATTAAAGTACGAACGCTTGGAACATCCACCCTATTCACCAGATCTGGCTCCGTCCGACTTCCACCTCTTTCCACATCTCAAAAAATTTCTACGTGAAAAGCGTTTCTCATCACATGAAGAAGTCATTGCAGCCGTAAATGGGTATTTTGAAGGCCTTCTGGAATCGCACTTCAGAGATGGGATACATGAATTGGAGAATCGTTGGAAAAAGTGTATTGCTCTTAAGGGAGAATATACTGAAGAATAAAGTCATTTTTTGAATCATAAAATTGTTTTTTCATTTCCGCTCCGCGAACTTTTCAACCAACCTAGTATATATATATATATATATATATATATATATATATATATATATATATATATATATATATATATATATATATATATATATATATATATATATATATATATATATATATATATATATATATATATATAAAAAATATATATATATATATATATATATATGTATATGTATATACAACCCTCGGAAGTAGGAAAAATGAGGAAAAATGAATATATATATATATACATATATATATATATATATATATATATTATTTTAAAACATCAAAAATACGATTTCTCTCAACACTTATAATTTTTTATTATTATAGAAATTTTCGCTGGATTTTAGATACCAGCTTCTTCAGCTTGTTAAATGTTTTTTATTTTTAAAAAACTTTATTAAAAAAGCTGAATCTTGGAAAATTGACAATGATGAAGTTCAGGTATCTTTTGATGTCGTAAATCTGTATCCATCGGTTCCTTTAAAAGAAGCCACCCTTGTATTAAATAATAATACAACATATAAAAAATTAACAAGACTAAGTATACCTGAAATAAAACAACTTATAGAACTTTGTTTATTTCAATGTTATTTTCATTGGAACAATGAAATTCATATAATGGAAAACTCGGGTCCAATTGGACTTTCGTTCATGGTCGTTCTTGCAGAATCATTTCTACAATTCCATGAAAACAATGCAATTAAAGTTGCACTAAATTTCAACCCTGCACTTAACCTCAAATCGTTCTTAAGATATGTCGATGATAGTCACGCAAGGTTTCCAGATCTCAACCAAGCAAAACATTTCCAATACATTTTAAATCAACAACATCCTTCCATCCAGTATACAATTGAAGTTGAAAACGAGTTAGGAACACTAAATTATCTGGATATACAAATTATGAATAAAAAAACAGGAAAGTATGAATACGCAGTATATCGTAAAGATGCTATCACTAACATTCAAATTAAGCCACACTCAAATCATGATCCAAATATCTTGAACTCTATTTTTAAAGGATTTCTCCACCGAGCTTACTCAATCTGTAGTAAGTCTTACTTGCAAAATGAAATAAATTTTCTAATCGACGTGTTTATTGAAAATGGTTACGATAAAACTCAAATGATGAATATTGCGCATCAGTTTCAACACAAAAGACAAAATAAAATTACAATTCCATCTGAAATCAATAATTATCCTGTAGTTTCCTTACCATGGGTACCCGGTCTCTCACCAAAACTTAGGAAAATATTCCGAAAAGCTGGTTACAGAGCGGTATTCAAATCAAACCCAAACTTAAGATCCCTGTTAACATCAAAAAATAAATCAAAACTACCTAATAACAGTCAACCGGGAACATATATAATCAAATGCAACTGTTCAAAAGTGTATGTAGGCGAAACAAAAATGAAAGTAAACACACGAATGCATCAACACCAAAAAAGCATTGATGAAAATAAGCAGCATCAATCCGCATTAGCTCTGCATAAAACATTTTGCAAAAAAGAAATTATTTGGGAACAAACAAAAACATTGAAAGTAGAAAATAAGAAATTTGAAAGAAAAGTTAGGGAAGCCCTAGAAATACAAAAAAACATGTGTTCTGCAAAAAATGGCGGGATTAATCTCGATGAGGGTCAATACGTAAAAACTAAGTTTTGGACGCCATTTTTTAAATTTCAGCGAAAAAGAAGCCATTCAACCGCTGACGTCAATAGCAACGTTTTAATTTAAATTATAACGATTTTATTAATTACTGTAACATTTAACAAGCTGAAGAAGCTGGTATCTAAAATCCAGCGAAAATTTCTATAATAATAAAAAATTATAAGTGTTGAGAGAAATCGTATTTTTGATGTTTTAAAATAATATATAAATATACTCTCACACAAGATGTTATCCTTTAAATCATATATATATATATATATATATATATATATATATATATATATATATATATATATATATATATATATATATATGTATATACAACCCTCGGAAGTAGGAAAAATGAGGTTAGCAATAATTTGCTGACCCCAATTTTTTAGTGGTTGGCACATCAGGTCAGCAAAAAAAATTAAATACAAAAGTCTAAATACATAAAACATAGAAATGAGGTCAGCTATAATTTGCCAAACTCAAACACTTTTTGGTTGGCAGTGAGGTCGTTATTGCCGAATGCCAACCCGAATTCTGAGGGCTGATATATATATATATATATATATATATATATATATATATATATATATATATATATATATATATATATATATATATATATATATATACATATATATATAATGTTCTGCTTTTTTAATTCCTGCCTTTGCTAACTCTTTGCTAACAAAATTTTTCTTGATTAAATCTGCTATTATGATGTATATATTCTTGGCTAGTTGAGCAAATGAAAACTTTTATTATCTGAGAACTGGAATTTTTAATATATTATAATATATCATCATACAGAAAATTCTAATAAATCATATGGAAACAAATCAATGAGCAATATTTTATGTAATTCTAATAAAACAGATCAAAATCTTGTGCAATATTAATTTTTTTTCTTTAAGATAAGAACTTTTAGATAAACTTGGTTGTACATATATAAATTATAATAAATATTGTATTAACATGGTATAGTTATTGAATTAATTAAAATTACAAAGACAAAAATAAAATACTGATAAAGTTAGCTCAAATGAAAAGATGGAAATAAGGATGTTAGCATGGTTACCTAACTAATGAAATTATAAAATTATAGATGTAAGGATAACTAGCTAATAAGTTCAATTAGTTGGAAATCCATAGTAATAGTCAATTAGTTGGAAATCCATAGTCAGTTAAATTGTCTGTTCAATAAGTTGATTAATTTCGAC